CCCAGCATAATTTCGTTCCGTTGAGCGTTGTGCGACCTGCAGTTTCCTTATAATGTCCATGTTAAGTGTCGAGGTTTCGCTTGCATAATAGTACACATTGGTCGAATGTTTTCTTCTTTAGATAAAGTGACATTCTTAGATATGTGCAGATTATGCACTTGCATAATTGCATAATTGCATAATTTAAAAAAAGGCTTTAAAACGGTTCAAAGTTGATACCTGAGTCATCACTAAACCTTCCTGAGGACGAATACACCCCGCATAATAACGCATAATCGGGTCGTTTTAATGCAGCATAATGCGCAAAGTGCATAATTATCGCATAAAGTGGCATTTTTTCCTTTTTTTCTGCAATTTAAGAAGACTATTGTTTGAGCCAATTAAAATTGTTGTGGCGACTTGGTTGATTGAGTTTATTCCATAAGTACTCCATGCTAACTTAATTCTTCGGTTGATTTCTGATAGTAGAGATCCCGAGCTGTGTATAGTTGTCCCAAATATATATATTCTTCTACTATTTCCAGTGTTGTGTTGTTTATTAGAATGTCTTTTTTGTCTACTAGTTCGTTGTATATTACTTTAGTTTTTGCTAAATTTATTTTGAAACCCACTTTATTACTGGCTGTATTTAGTTCATTAATTATGTGCTTGTAGTTCTTCAGGATTATTGGCAATTATTACTATGCCATCAGCGAATCTTCCCAGTGAGCGTTTTATTCTTTTAAGGAAAATGTGTTCTAGGTGAGGTCGACGTTACGTTACCAGGCCCTTTTTGTGCCTGATAAAGAGCAACAAAACGCAGATAGGTACGTACCTGTTCCCCCCCCCAACTTTTAGGACGTCCATATTCAAAAAGTTAGAAATTGAAGCCCGATGCAACATTTTTAATGTTTAGTCGATTCCAATATGTCCGGCGGAAGGGATGTTCTTCTCCCGGCTGCAGCTTGCGTAATTTTAGCATGCAGAGAAAAACATAAGAAAAAAAGAAGATTTTAGGTGCGTCCTACTCTGTGTTCACGGAAAAAATATAGTGGCACTGATTTGTTAAACGATTTGAAAGCTGATGACGTTATTCTTTCGCTGAGCGACGAACTACGATGTGATGGGAGTTTCAAAAATTTTGCGCGAATGTCAAGTGGGGCTTTTGAAATTTTAATAAACAAAGTAGGACACAGAATATTTAAAAATTACACTCGGTTTAGAGATGCGATACCTGTTCAAGAGAGATTAGCTGTAACTCTTAAGTTTTTAGCTACAGGAGACTCATATTACAGTTTGATGTATTTGTTTAAAGTATCGAAGCAGAGTATTTCCAAATTAGTTCCGGAGGTCCATGATGTACACCGGTGTCACACTAAACATGACGATGTACACCATGTCCTCCCTGATGTACACCGGTGAACCGACTAAACAAAACTAAAGATGAGACCCAAATAAACGAATACAAAAAGCCAGTGTGGACGTAGTCGCAACATGTTGCCAACACAATGTTGTCAACGTTCTTTGATCTTTACCGCTCCTGACGGAAAACATACAACTTGTTGAGAAAACATGCAACTTGTTGCTTTTTAATGAAATCTTCGTAAACATGTTGCTCAACATGTTGAGCAACAAGTGTGGACGCGGGTTAATGTTCCCTAAATGTGACAAAGCTTTGCTTACTAGGTTAGATGATTAAGATATTCTCCATCTATTTTTAATCCTTTGTTGGTCCAGTCCGGAAGGTTTCTTCTAGTATTGCTGTAAACAACTTTGGGAATATCGCGTCTCCCTGTCGTACTCCTTTACCAGTTGGGACATGTTTAAAATCATTCAAGAATAAAGTACCTTGTATTGAAAACAATTAATTTTTTTATTAAAAAATTTGTGGATTTCACAAATAACAGTGTCTAAACTTGTAAACTTTTAAGATCATGAAAAGCCACAAAGATGACACACGGTATTGCCACATATAACGATGCCGGACGAGGCTACCCCTGTCCGTCATACCAGGCACCCTCTACTGACTGTGGTCATGTCTCGCGGGTAGAGGGTGTGGGGGGGGTCTTGGCTTAACCGCCTGTACCAAGAGGAGACAACCTCACCAAAAACCTAAATTCTACGATGATGGCGGGACCGGGTGGCTAGATAGAGGACTAGCCATTACTGGCCTCAACCTTGGGGCATCAGGGAGCACCCCATTGAATTTACCTCTTACTTCTACATGCAGGGCTCTGTAGAAGTGGACCGACTATCGCCTAGCGACTCGTGGAAGCACTATGAGATCTAGCTTTAAAAACACCACCGGTGAAGCTGTGGGGAAGCCCCCTAGCGACACTGGAAACATTACAAATGAAAGTTCCAAGGGAGCAAATCCAAAGGAAACTACAAGAGGGGCGGCTGACACTTGCTTGGATCATCCTCCACAAGTGGCACACAAGCTACCACCTTCTCCAGCCAGGGTCGGGAGCTTACCTCTAGACCCAATAAACGACACAAGCTACCGTTTCGTCTACCCGGCCTGGGTCAACCAGGCCAGCTAGACGATTCTCTGATAGTAGGTCTTAGCGGAGCAGAAGCACGGAGATACCTCCGACTGCTCCACGAAGGACTTGCTCCAGAGGAAACGCTCCTCCGAAAAGGGGATAGTAAAGAAACCAAGAAACAGCCTGACTCGTCTCCATCAAAGGGCAAGAGAGGGAGCGAGAACCTCTCACCTCTTCTCCGGCAGGGAGAGAAAAAAGCCAGGATGGAAAGCCGTCCAACACCGGGAGGCAAGCAGGGACGTATCACCAGCTTTGCCGCTATTGCTGGACAAGCGAAAATGGCGGTGCTGCCAAAGAATTTCCCAGAGGTTGCTCTGACCTCCGACCAGCAAACGTCTCTAGAATCGGATCGGATCGCAACACAACGATTTACAAAATGTTGGTCAGCTGCGTTTTGCGGGGATACACTTTCGGGTGGGCATGATCCTCATAGATTGTTTATCTCAAGAATCGGCGAATTGGTTTGTGGAAATCGCACTTAAGCTTAAAAATTGGCAGGGGCCGGAACTGGTTGCAGTGAACGGAGAAAATATCCCTAAAGGGGTAGCCATCACGGTCTTTCTGCTGAGGAGCAAGGGGAAAGTCACCACCTACCTGCTGAGCCTTATCCAGGGTTAGAACTTCGATGTAAGGACATCGAGTTGGCGAGTCATCAACTCGAGGGAGGAGGGTCATGGTCAGGTCCTCACAATAGGAATTGACCTCAAATCCAAGGAGTTAATTTTCCAATTATCCTCTATTATAGATACGGGACAACACCGGTATTAGGTCTAAGGAAAGACGTTAAAGAGGTGGAGAAAATGGAGACAGATCCTCCATCCTCCACCTCACGGGTTCCTCAGCCGGAGGCAAGCTCCCCGACTGTGAAGGGCGGCACAGAGGCCAAAACTCCAACCGTGGAAGGGTGTGTACCCTGGTACAAAGAATACAAGGTATGATATTGCGCAGGTTGGTCGCTACGTCACAGGTGATAACAGGCGCTATTGGTCAGCACGCTCCGCGCGCCAGTTCAAATCGTCAAGATATTGTTATAAACCTGTTTTTTTTTGTTTATATACCGTCATTGAATTATCGCTAAGCAAGTTACTGTGGAGCAGTGCATAAGGAGTCGGGCTAGGAAGCGAGAGACCGGAGTTCGAATCTCGGCCGGAACATCAATTTTTATTTATTTTTTTAAATACTGTTGTATTCTATAGTTTATTTTTGTAGTAAAAAGAACTATTTATTCTGTTATTTTTTAATCTCCGTTATTAATATAAATTGATTGTTAGTACAATACCTCATTTAATATAAAATAATATTGTACTTTTTGAAATGTATCGGGCCCTAATTGTACCTAAAAGTAATATATTTTTAGTGATATACCATATTGTAAACTATTTAATATTTCAGTCACTTAAAAAGTTAATTTGCATTGAATAATTGCCTACCATTAAAGGAAATTTGAGCTATATAACCCTTGATGGGCATATTCTGGGTATGCAAATACTTCCTTTAAATTTTGGGCGTCGTTCAACCGATTTATTCTCAAAACCAGAAACATCTACATATAAAAAGAAGCACAGGTCACTAATTATAATAAACTGCACCCTTGGTATTACTTCCACTAATTATAATAAACTTCACCCTTGGAATTACTTCTATCACAATTACAATACGTTCATCTGCATTGGCATTTTCTACTTTTCGATGGGAAACAATAAACTTCCCAACATTTTTTAAATGATGTAACAATTCCTCTTGTGGTTACTTTTCCATAGATATCCTCATCTCTGTCCTCATGTGAATTCAGAGGCAATAAAAGTGAAAATTATTTACCATAAACATCGCAAAATAAAAACCTAATAAACAATTTTATACCGAATATAGAAATAAATTTAGTATTTTTACCTATTATCGTCCAAATCCATGTTAATAGATAATTATTATTTTTAAATATATTTTTGGAACTGCTGGTTTTAGTAATTATTAAATTAAACGAACGTCTTAAAAATAAACAATTCTTAACCATAACCTCAAAAATGCAGATCTCCTGTCAACTTTCTTTATTTTTTATTTATTCATTATTTTCCTAGTGACGTCACAGGTGGTATGCGCGAACTGAACGAAATTGGAGCCGCTATCGATCATACCTTGTATTCTTTGTACCATGGGTGTGTACCCTCGGAGGAAGAACTGTTGTCAGAGGAGGATGGGAAATACTCTGTCCCTTCTACAACAGGGGTATGATGGGTTATAGACCCCTCTTACTCATTCTACATTCTACATTGCCACCTAAAAATCAATCATTGCTTTGTAATACCACGTATTACATATTATTATAATTTTAAGGTGAAACTAACGAATACAAAATAATGAAAACAGAGTAACATTTTACTTTCAAGATATGTGGTAATATTTTGAGCGGAGTACGACCCTGTACGACGTCAAAAGCCTCACAAATCTAAACAGAAATGTTCTCCGTGCGACTCCACGACCGTTTTCAGTTGTTGGTGGTACCGCGGCCTAAAACCGCGCCGTGCGTTATTTCAGTAGTACTATCTCGCATATTTTCCGAAAAATAAACAGGGGGAAACCAACACAATCATCTTTAAATCATGGAAAAACTAATTTTTTCTATCAGTGCGTAATGTTTTTTTAGTGTAAATTTGTGTTACAAAAATTCTTAGTGCGCGATTTTTTTTTAAATAAATATATTTTAACACTACCCTAACTGTGAGGAATTTTGGTTTAAGAGAAAATGGGGTTTTTTAAGTGGTTTTCTTTGGTCCTTCTCATCGAAGAAAGTGTGGGTCAGTTGGCTTTCGATCCTGGTCATACTCCGGTCATTGGTCGAAATAAAGGGACCCGTTGTTACGACAATTTCAATAGGCCTCAGGTAGGTACTGCGGTGGTACTGCTTCATTTACAGAACAGGCTTTCAAAATTACAAGCGTTTACATAATATACTACTTCAATTTTAGACCTCTTGAAGCACTTAAAATAACTAAAACTTAAAATCTACAGAACTGAATGATACACTCAAAAAAATAATGTTTGGATTGAAAATTGAACCTTAATTTTTTCTTAAACTAACAAGATTTCTAGTAAAATAATACAATTTGACTTTAGAATTTTTGGCGTTGCAACAGCAAAATAAAACACTAATTTATCACAATACACCAAAACGCTTTACTTTTGCACTGGACGCGCGTTTTTCTGTCCATGTTAGTATCACCAGCAGATGATTAAAACTAGTCTTCAAGTGTTTTATTTTGCTTATTTTTGCAAGAGTTCTAGCCAGTGAAATTAAACAAAAAAATAGTAGTTGTTTACCAAAAACTTAACTTATTCTTCCTAATAAATTGTAGTGCAGCTATGAATTTGTAAAATTTGACTAAATCTTATTATAAGTATTCTCAAGCAAAATTCAGCCTACCAAAATTGTCAATGTTAGTTGGTATGGTATACAGAGTGAGTTAAAAAAAAATGTTGTATGTTTCCCAAATATACAGAGGTAGAGAAAATGAGAATAAAGATTATGAAGGCTCTTATAATCATCTTGCCGACATTTTTTTTCGTGACGTTTAAAGAGTATTAGTGACACGTAATGATTATGTTTTTTTACGGTGATCTTTAGGCATAGATAAAAGAAAATAAATGATCTTTAGGTATGATATATTGATTTCAATCATTCTAGATTCTAAATCATTCGATCAATAAGTTTTCCGTAGCATAAGATTGACAAAAAAGACCTCTTTCCACAACTGTTTGATCTAATCAATACTACGATATTTCAGAATAAGTAAATACGAAATTGAACATTTCTAGGGTAAGAAATAGACTCTTTTACAAGGTCTTTAACCCTGTCGAACTATTTCCTGGCGCATTCTTAATGCTTGCATAGCATTTTCTACAGAAATGCTATATTTAAATTTATGTTTTATAAGCGGGTTCAGCCTTTTTTACTCGAACTATATTAATAACAATATTTCCTTTTTTTCTTTTTTTTCTATTTTGTTTTATACTTAAGACAGGGTCTCACAATAAGCAAGCTATTTACCTTTTAGCCCATTTTAAAATTGAAAATTGAAGTCCTCATCTGTCTATAATATTACACAAGGAAAAATAAAATGCTGTTATTTCGGCGAAAGTTTAAAACACCCTGTGATAATTCAGTACCACACACTTGGTATTTCGAGTCAAGTTGTTGTTATGAACTGCATGTTACAATTTCAAATAAACCAGAAATAAACTATATGCGAAAATGCCAAAAGTTGACATATATGTCATTCTATTTAGAGTGTCATTTTCTATCAAAAGTAGAAATCCAGGTGGAAATATACCGAGGGTTAAATGGCACCCTCTAAAATCAAAAATTGTAGTCATTTCTGGTGAAGCAGAAAGTGATAAAAACAATTGAATACGTCAATCTATTCTAATTGATGTCATATACTACTACTACCAGAGTACTACTGCCATTACACGCTAACGAGTATTTGACACGCATCAAAAGATGGTTACGCAGGGCGTTTCCTGTCATGAGCTTTTCTGTGACTGAAAAGCCCGATACGTGATGTTATCTGTCATGATTGTAGAAAACCCTGTCTTTTAATTTCCAAAATGCTCTTGAGGCGCTGCTGATTCTGTGCTGAATTTTATTCGTGTTTTTGCCCTGAGTCTTTTTATGATGAACAGACCGTCGTCATACCTGTATCTAACACCCATTCCTCTTTCCTGCAGTTTGCTATCCACTATAATAGAGAGTGCTGCCATGAATATGTTGAATAGGAGAGGAGCTAGGACACATCCCTGCCTAACTCCTGTATTTGTCAGGAAGGGATCGCTCAGCGATCCATGATGTGACACTCTCGACTTGTTGTTATGGAGGCTTTTACATTACACACATTAAGAAATTTGTTGGGCACTCCGAACTTTTGCACAATTGCCCAAAGTGCATCTCTGTTTACAGAGTCGAAGGCTTTCGTTAGGTCGATGAATGCAACATAAAGTTTACTCTGCTGTTCCTTTACTTTTTCCTGGAGTTGGCGGACGGAGAATATGGAATCAACTGTACCGCGGTTGTGCCAAAGCCCGTTTGCGATTCTGGGAGGATTTTTTCTATATGTGGGTGAAGGCGGTTTGACATGATTTTTGCGAGAACTTTACCTCCGATAACCAGTAGTGAAATTCCTCGGTAGTTTCCGCAATCTGATGCACTTCATTTGTTCTTAAATATATTTACTATATTCGCGTTGCGAAAGTCCTGAGGTACCTCTCCACTTTCCCATATGACATCGAAGAGAGCCTTAAGATGACCAATAAGTTTTTTGCTTGTACACTTATAGATTTCCGCTGGAATCGCGTCACAGCCAGCCGATTTGTTATTTTTAAGTTGTTTTATGGAGGCCTTTATTTCCTGTTCTGTTATTGGGAAGTCTAATGCATGGAGGCTGTTATACTGAGGTATTGTGTTTAGTGCTTGCATATTGGGGATATTGTCTTGGTTAAGGATATGGCTGTAATGCTCTTTCCAGCGATTTCTGATTTGCTCTTCCTCTTTTAGAAGTTCACCATGTCATATGTCATATACTAACATAACAAATGTCGTTTTTTATCTGAAAAATTAAAAGAGTTATAGGGGGTGAGCTACTTTTGAGACGCACCCGGCATTGAACTTACATATAAAAATAAAGAAAAATACATGAAAATTTCAAGGTATCCAGTTTTCTTGCTGGCCAGTCTATATTTTTGGTCATGTTTTGATATAAAATATTCTTATGTGCGCTACCAAAAAAAGTGTTATATCAAAAAGAGTGTAATTGAAAACATTAATCCCGTTTTGTCAGAAAACGACATTTTCAATAAATCTGAGTCCTTGCAATCAATGATTTACTCGTTTTCGTTTTATTTAAAATCTTAATCTTGTTAATAAAAATGGAGCAAAAATAAAGCAATGGTGTATATTGTGCGATAACAAACGAAATAAGGAAACTACACACAACACACATGCCGCTGATAAATATAAATCTTCTGGATGACTTCATCGCTTATAAAAATTCTCACTTACTGTAAATACAGATGTTATTGTTTAAAGCCAATAAATCCCGCTCTGGAAAGAACAGAACGCCGCTTTCTGTACAGAAATATACTGTACTTTCCATACAGGGCCGTACCTAAAGAATTAATTTATACAGAAGTAAAAACCGTGTATAAAAAAATGTAGAATATGAACAAGTGTTTTTTTTATTAAATTATTTACTATAGCTTACCCAGAAGTCGATAATGCCTACGTTGAGGTGAAGTGAGAGCTTTATTGTCAATCTTGTGGTACTGATGGAACTACTGTGGAATGATTGAGACCAATCGTTTTGACAGTTGATGTCTTATGTGCTCTATACAGGATGTCTCAAAAAATTCATCTCGATAAATTCATCAGGGGCGCGCATATGGGTTATCACTAGAATCTAATACAGAAAAAAGCCATGTGCGCCAGTGACTTTTTTCTTTTGATATCAAAATTGTGTAGGTCGTTTAATGCCAATTAAAAGTTATCTCTTGATATTTTGTCGAATTCAGCCTCCTTGATGAGATAAACGCAATTTTATTAATCACAATAAAATTAAAATATAAATAAAATTAATAAATTATATATTTTACCTAATTTATTATTAATTATCATTAATATTAGTTATTATTACTATTAGTTTAACTTACAGCAATTATAAATAAAAATAATGGTATTTAAGATAATTACACAAAAAGTAATTTTAAAAAGTTTTAACATCCTGTAATTCTAAAACTAATTCCATACCCATGTTTATATGAACTTTTTTCATATTTTTTGATGAGGAATCAATGAGACTTTATTAATACTTTTGCAAGTTAATGATATTCAAATTTTTTAAAGGTTGCTATTAGATTTGGACCAAGGCAAATTAATAAAATTGCGTTCATCTCATCAAGGAGGCCGAAATCGACAAAATATCAAGAGACAACTTTTAATCGGCATTAAACTGCTTACACTATTTCGCTAACAAGAGAAAAAAAATCAGTGGCGTACATGTTTTTTTTAGAAAAATATTCCTAAATAAAAAACAAAAATTTCGAGAACCACTGGATCATTTCTGGGTGGTTTTCTTTCTTGTAAATTTAATCTACTACCTATGTTGCCATATTGTCAAGAAATGAAGTTTATTTTTAATTAAAAATTTTAAAAAATCCAAAAAAGTTGCACTTATTTAGGACTCACCCTGTATATTTTAATACCTGGTACTTCTTCCTTGATTTGAATATGCTTTTTTCCCACTATTATCCGAAAATTTAGTAATATTATTCAATAAAATACAAGTTATTCAAAAAAAAATTCCAAAGAGAAACTGTAATAGTAGTTACCTGACTTCCCCTAGGAGATGCAAGACCTTGTCGTTGGTGGGGAAGCTCCTGGTCAGGTTCTGGGTGGAATCCCCCCTAGCACTTGGCTTGGTCAAAGAAGCATCTCACTCATCGTCTTGTCCCTGACTGTAGTGTCGTGGCCAGGGAATTGCACCAAGACATATAACGATACCGGGCGGGGCTACGGACAGCCTCAACCTTGGGGCACCGGGGGGCACCCCATTGTATTTTACCCCTTACTTCTTCATGCGGGGCTCTGTAGAAGTGGACCGACTGTCCCTAGCGACTCATGGGAACACTATGAGATCTGGTAATAATAGTAATAAAAACATCACCGGTGAAGTTGTGGGGAAACCCCCTAGCGACACTGGGAACAGTAACAATGAAGGTTCCAGGGCCAAACCCAAAGAGAACTACAGGAGAGGTGGCTGACACTTGCGTGAGACCATCCTCCGCAAGTGGCATACAAGCTACCACCTCCTCCAAGGGTCGGGAGCCTACCTCCTACCTCTAAACCCAACAGGCGACACAAGCTACCGTTTCGTCTACCCGGCCTGGGTCGTAGCTCCTCGACTGTGAAGGACACGCGTCTCTGTAGGAAGTTCTGGGACTGTATGATGAGTTATAACTCAAGAAAGGGGGACACAATAGATCTCTAAGGTCGCAGAGATTAACCCCCCTCCCACTTATACTAAATTCTATCTTACTCTGAGGTATTTACTTATTTTGCTATAACTAAACCGAGGTCTAAACATTATCACAAACACATTAAATCATATTTTAGAAAAAAATCAAGGTTCTACTAATAAAATCTACGTGTAAATCTTAATTTTTGTTTTATCTTGTTTGCTATTAGTTCGGGAAAACAGGTAAGGTTTTGAAATTTGTATTTTCACTACTTAATTATATTTAAGTCAATGCCACAGGGTGTTTCAAAAAACATGTGCCATCTCTTGTGTGAGATTCCTGACATAAATTTAAGATTTATTTTTCATATCAACATAGGTCCGATTCTGCTTTGTTTCGTAGCTACAGGGTCTTAAAATCTTAATAATCTTTCAATTTATTATAATTTTCTTCCAAGTACTTTTAATGATTCAAATGTAATTTTGAGGGTAAAAGTTACTATAAGTGCTAAAAAAATGTCGATAAATTCGTCTGGGACGTGCATATGGGTTGCAATAATAATAAGTAAATTGCAATATTTAAAAAAAAACATATGTGCCACTGACTTTTTTTTTATAATATTTAAAAGTTATCTCTTGATATTTTGTCGAATTCGGCCTCCTTGATGAAATAAATGCAATTTTATTAATCACGATTAATAAAATTAAAATAAAATTAACAAATTATATATTTTACCTAATTTATTATTAAATATTAATACTCTTAGTTATTATTATTATTACTCCAACCTACAGCAATTTCAAATAAAAAAATAATGGTATTTAAGATGATTACAAAAAAACTAATTTTAAAAAGTTTTAACATCCTGTAACTCTAAAACTATACATTTCCATGCCCATGTTTATAGGATTTTTTTTTATATTTCTTGATGAGAAATCAATGAGTACTAATTTCGCAATTTTTTAAAGGTTGCTATTAGACTTGGATCAAGGCAAATTAATAAAATTGCGTTTATCTCATCAAGGAAGCCGAAATCGACAAAATAAACAGATGAAAAAAAGTCAGTAGCATACATGCTTTTTTTAGAAAAAGATTTCAGTGAAAACCCATATGTACGTCCCTGGTGAATATGTCGATACTTTTTTAGCTTTAAAATACGTCGCATTTTAGTAAGTTTTACTCTCAAAATTTCAATTGAAACACTAAAAGTACTTGGAAGAAAATTATAATAAATCGAAAAAATATTAAAAATTTAACACCCTGTAGCTACGAAACAAAGCAGAATCGGACCTATAATGATATGAAAAATAAATTTTATTTTTACGTAAAAATTACACACAAAATAGTTGGTTTTGTAGCGTGCGGTAGATCTCGGTCGAAAATCGTGGGAAATAATGCTGAGAAATGATGAGTGAAAAATTTTCGCTGAGTTGGTTGCTTGATAACGCTTTGACTGAAAACTTAAATACTCTCTTGCATGTGTCGGTTCTGTAAATATAGAAGTGCCAATATATCCCCCATTTCTACCGACAAGAACATCTGGAAGTGCTCATACCAATATTCTTTTTCCAGAGATGTATTCCAGAATTCGAGAACGCCGCCTTCAGCATGCCCATAGAAGCCACCAACACCTGCGGAGAGTTAGGAGACCAGGAATACTGTATCCAGACTGGAGTAACAGGGATCAGAAAATCCTGCGAGATCTGCTACCCCGGTCAGCACGACGCTCGCTACCTTACCGACTTCCACAACACCGATAATCCCACCTGGTGGCAGTCCGAAACACTTTTGGAGGGTGTCACTCAAGTCAATTTGACGTTGAAGTTTGGTAAGTTATTTTAAGTTAAAAATCTTGTTATTTTGACGTTGTTTATGGGTTGTATTGTTTGCATAGATAAATGAAACAAGTTTAGATTGGAAAGTGCCCATAAGGACAATGTAAACACTATTTGGCTCTATTCTTGCAACGGTCGCGACCCAAAACTTTTGAAAATTTCCGAGCGGTTCGGCTTTTTCCGGAATTACATCGCCAAATATTGTTTATTCAAATTTATTATTATTTTCGTTTAATTTTATAAATAAAATACAGTGTGTTGCATGCAAGAAACTTTATTTTATATAAGGACGCATGTATGAAATACCTATGAAACATTGAAAACCGACGTTATGCCACGATCCACGATGGTTTTTGCAGTTCACAGTTAACAGCACAGCTTTTTATGTTTTTAATGCCACTTTTTCACAATTATTACCGGTTGGAGTAAATAAAACTTGAATTAAACTCACAAGATAGCTATAATTACTTTGAAAGTGGACGCTATAAACACTTTTCGGAATTTCTTTAATGAGAGCTGTTTAGATTTTGAAAGATTATTACGATATTATGATTTTTGAAGATTCTGACTTTGACAAGAGAAAATTATTTCTGTTTTTGTTTGCCGTTGTTCTTAGCGACCGCTATAGCAGCGCCAGATCGCGTATAACGGTCGCGACCTAAAATTTTTACGGGCTTTTCAATCTAAACTTGTTGCTAAAACTGTTTATAGGTAAGGCGTTTGATATCACGTATATTCGGCTATGGTTCTTTTCTCCCAGACCTGAGAGTTTTTCCATATCTAAGAAGACTACAGCTGATGGACCTTGGATTCCTTTTCAGTATTACAGGTTTGTAATAGGAATTTACATTAGAAGACAAAAAATAGTATATTGTTTTATTGGGAGTAAAAATTATACTTTTACGAGGCTATATGTTTGACATTACAGCCGATGCACAAAAAGTCATTTTTACGCCGAATAGAACATGCTTTTTTTTTCAAACGCCGCAAATATTTTTTTAAAAAATTGAGACGTTCCAAATAATACAAAAAAATTTAAAAAGTCATACAGTGTAATTATATATATAGAGAAAATATGGTTACGCTCGTTGAATTTGACACTGCGGTCTTTTATTAACTTTTGATGTTGCCCTGGTATCTCAATATTCAATTGAACTATGTTTCTGCTAGCGCCACCTGTCGAGACACATACGGATTACCCGATCAGCACCAACTGTACTCGGGCAGAATCGATGAGGATCGTGCTTTTTGTACGTCAGAGTATTCCGACATTTCGCCGCTACGTGGCGGCAACGTCGCTTTTGGAACGTTGGAGGGAAGACCGTCGGCCTACAATTTTGATGCCAGTCCAGACTTGCAAGTAAGTTTCGTTCTTCGAGAGATAAAGCAAATATTAATGCTCTGTCTACAGGGTGGATAATATAACGTCATCTACGAAATACTGGTTATCTTTATTTTCTTTAAAATTTGAGTGTCTGGGGTTATTATGGAAGTTTACAAATAAAAAGGACTACTACATTATATTGAAGCTACTATATTTAATTTAAAAAATACAAATAAAAATACGTTTTTCAGTCAGAGGTCCTGCAATTTTTCAAATAGACAGTCCACAACCGTTACCACACAATACATTGTCTTGTTCTCCCATCTCACAGTACAAGTGCCATCGGTGGCACTATCCCAATAGCACGAACTGGCAGTGTGCAAGCCTGCCCCCATCTTCTGCATGATAGAACACGTCACCACGTACTTGAAGTTCTTCTTGAGCTTGCTCAAAGCGCTTAGACATTGCTCCGAAACTGTAGCGCTCCACTGATTGACTTTTTCCTGCTGGTAGATTGCTCCTGTGAGCTGCGCTTCGATGGTATCTTTTACAATTTTGGTAACGTCATCTACAAAATACTGGTTATCTTTATTTTCTTTAAAATTTGAGTGTCTGGGGTTATTATGGAAGTTTACAAATAAAAAGGACCACTACATTATATTGAAGCTACTATATTTAATTTAAAAAATACAAATAAAAATACGTTTTTCAGTCGGAGGTCCCGCAATTTTTCAAATAGACAGTCCAAACACCGTTACCACACAATACATTGTCTTATTCTCCCATCTCACAGTACAAGTACCATCAGTGGCACTATCCCAATAGCACGAACTGGCAGTGTGTAAGCCTGCTCCCGTCTTTTGCATGATAGAACACGTTACCACATACTTGAAGTTTTTCTTGAGCTTGCTCAAAGCGCTTAGACACTGCTCTGAAACTGTAGCGCTCCACTGATTGACTTTTTCCTGCTGGTAGATCGCTCCTGTGAGTTGCGCTTCGATGGTATCCTTCACGATTTTGGTAACGTCGTCCACGACAAACTGGTTGTCTTCTTCGTCCATTTTCTTGAAATTTTGAGTGATGAAAGGTCTGAGATGAATGAGTGACGGCCGGCTAGGTAGGGTGAATTTTCGGTGGTGGTCAGACATGGTGGAAAATTTTATAAAGGTGAGCAGGTGAGATGTTCTCGGTGCAAATGGAAGGTGAAAATTGGAAAAGTAAACTCTGTCTGCTGGAAAAACGCGGGAAAATGCGTTCGGGTGTTTCGAAAGCGCTGAAATTTATGATAGAGCTGGCGGTTAGTTGGTGCAGGCACGAGAACGCTTACATAGTGGACTAAAAATATTTTTACTTAGTACAATTTTTTTTATTTGTTTTACACGAAATGCTTTGTATGTAAGTTCTAAAGAACTAATATAGCTTATCTTTTAGAAAAAAACTCTTTGTTTGGCTATTCTGTTTGTTTTATTTTTTCTGTAGATAATATACATACAGTGTGGTCCACTAAGTATGCAACATATGGGAATTTTTTTTATTATGGAAAGCACTGCTCATTAAAATGTTGTATCCTATGTTATAGGGCTTGTTTCTCTCTACAATTTTCTGTGTCGCAATGTACCGTTTGTGTCCGGGAAGGGTTCATAGTTTCATATTTGTCGATTTTTCAAAGAAATCAGTACATGTATATTATTTCGTATATTTTTTCATTTTATTGATTTTATGGAAAGCACTGTTCATTCAAATGTTGTATCCTATGTTACAGGGCTTGTTTCTCTCTACAATTTCCTGTCTCACAATGTACCGTTTGTGTCCGGGAAGGGTTCATAGTTTCATATTGTCGATTTTCCAAAGAAATCAGTACATGTATATTATTTCGTATATTTTTCATTTTATTGATTTTATGGACAGCACTGTTCATTAAAATGTTGTATCCTATGTTACAGGGCTTGTTTCTCTCTACAATTTCCTGTCTCACAATATACCGTTTGTGTCTGGGGAGGGTTCATAGTTTCATAGTTGTCGATTTTCGAAAGAAATCAGTACATGTATATTATTTCGTATATTTTTCATTTTATTGATTTTATGGAAAGCACTGTTCATTAAAATGTTGTATCCTATGTTACAGGGCTTGTTTCTCTCTACAATTTCCTGTCTCACAATGTACCGTTTGTGTCCGGGAAGGGTTCATAGTTTCATATTTGTCGATTTTCGAAAGAAATCTGTACATGTATATTATTTCGTATATTTTTCATTTTATTGATTTTATGGAAAGCACTGTTCATTAAAATGTTGTATCCTATGTTACAGGGCTTGTTTCTCTCTACAATTTCCTGTCTCGCAATGTACCGTTTGTGTCCGGGAAGGGTTCATAATTTCATAGTTGTCGATTTTCGAAAGAAATCAGTAGATATATATTATTTCGTATATTTTTCATTTTATTGATTTTATGGAAAGCACTGTTCATTAAAATGTTGTATCCTATGTTATAGGGCTTGTTTCACTCTACAATTTCCTGTCTCACAATGTACCGTTTGTGTCCGGGAAGGGTTCATAGTTTCATAGTCCAAATAAGAATACTGTCCGATAACTATATCAGCGGTACTTAGCTTAATGGCTGCGAGTCAAACAACCTACAGGGTGAGCCAAAAGTACGATAATCACTAGAACCAAACAACTTAATAAGTAATGAAACATTATAATGAAAAAAACTGTCTAAATTTTTGTGTAAGACATTCTTCAAATTAAAGTTTTGAATTAATTTTTCTTGACTTTTTTTCAGGAATGGGTTACAGCAACGGAAATCATGATCACCCTGGATCGCATCAACACCTTCGGAGATGAAGTATTCGGCGATCCACAGGTACTCAGATCGTACTTCTACGCCATCGGTGACTTATCCGTAGGTGCCCGTTGCAAGTGCAACGGACACGCTACCGAATGCGTAGCTAGTACCGGTCCCAACCGTACTCTCAGCAGGGTGTGTCGCTGCGAGCACAACACCGCAGGACCAGACTGTGGAGAGTGTTTACCTTTTTACAACGACGCTCCTTGGGGAAGGGCTAATGCTCAGGATGCTCACGAGTGCAAAGGTAAGAATAATCTCAATTCTTAATCGGTGATCCTATTTTTAATAACAGAAATGGTGACCATGAGTCTGACAGAGTTCTAACGTTGATTGAAGAAATAAGGAAGTGCTCGACCTTATAGGCAATTTCGTGGCAAAAAGTGTCCGACCTAAAAGCTGACGTTACCGTCAAGGTGTCTGACATTTAGTTTAGCTCTGCGCCGTTGCGCGCTGATTCGTTTACAGCGCAGCGGATAAAGAATACTGTACCGTAGTTCTGCTTTCAGTCGACAGAATCAGTGATTGCCGGAGACAGTGTTGTCAGAACTACGGATTAATCCGTAGATTTACGGTTTTTGGGTACGGTATGTAAATAATACGGATTTTCTATCATTTAATATAATATTATATGATTAAACAAAGAACGGCGTCAGAGTTGGCTTGGAAATGAAGATCCCTGTTATTTCATATGTAAAATATTGTGGTAAATGTCAATAATCGTTATTTTCAAGCCAACTAAACGACTTTTTTCGATCATACGACATACTCAGTATCTATAAAAGAACTTTTATTTTTGTTGTTTATTCTATGTTTACCACGAATAAATTTTCGATATATAAACGCGGATTTTTTATCCAAAGATATTTTCGTCAAATGTATTACAGGTATTACACATTTTAATATGGCAACACCGTCGCTTTCAGATAGACACCGTCTTCGATATGCCTTCACTGGCCGAATTGGAGAAATTAAGTGTTTTATGCGTTGGCCGTAGAACGGGTGGTGGCTCTATCGTACAGCACTTGAGACATAAGGGTAAATCAAATCAGCTTTTTCACGAATTCGCCCATTAGATTGCGCATCTTCCCATTTCTTTCAGTCAATGGTTCTAGCTAAAAGATATTTTGGGTTTTGTGACGTACAGGTCTCCAGGAAGTAGATTTTCTTTTAATTTTTAAAACGGATCCCCACTCCGACTTAATAAGATCCCCATGCGATTTACTTCCACACATGTAAATGCCGACCCAAAAGTAACAGTTGCCAGCACGGTATAATTGAAACCACTAATTTATTCAATAATTTCGAAATTCTGATTGAAGCTCATCTATTTAAAAAAAGATGTAAATACGACAGCTATGAATATTTATAGTCTATATTTACGTAGCTGTCATCGAACTCTTAGACAGGCAAAAATAAATAACTAAATCGGAGTAGCATGTTCAGAGTGAATTGGTCCAATTTTCCCCTGAAATCAACGTGATTTATGGAGTTCGAAGGGCTCCTCACCTCAGGATATCGATCAAACTAGATCAACGGGCAAATTGAATTTTAAGACATTTATTAAACACACTTTGAAGTTTTTGTTGGGGCTTGCAGCACGCTACTTTTACACAGAGTCCCAAAACAGAAAATAAATAACTCTATGGCAAGTGAATAAGCTGTTTTATGGAAAAATATCTGACAAAGCACTAACGCTTTAAATCACGCAGCCACCGAGGACTTGAAACCGATTGGATTCTATGTAAAATTCTTACTTAAAAGATAATGTTTAGTGAAAGTACTTTTTTATTTATAAACATTTATTTGATTCCGTTTTTAGTATTTGTTCTTATAGCGGCAAAATAGATACATTATCTGTAAAAATTTCAACTGTCTAGCTATAACGGTTAATAAGATAGACCTTTCTGACAGACGGACGGACAGCGAAGTCTTAGTAATAGGGTTCCCGTTTTTAACCTTTGGTCCGGAACCCTAAAAAATAGTATTCATATTCAGAGGTGTACCTATAATATATAACTATATGGTACGACAAAAACAAACACCCACATTAATGAAACACAAAACGTATACCCGAAACTCTTCGGGATCTCTTTTATCAAAATTAAGCCCATATATCACCGACCGAGGCGGTACCAAGAGACATGGTAATGAGGAACTGGTACCTTTCTTTAGCGTTGGCGTAGGAAGTACCCGTAGGGTTCCAACAAAACTTTCGTAAAGAATATTGTCTGGTGCGCTCTTTTGTTTAAAACTGCGGGTACTGCTTTAGTGTGACGGCGTTTAAAATATAGATTAATCTTGTTTGAAATAAAAACGGTGGTAGTAGTACTACTGAATTATGCGTTTTTTATTTGTGTTGTTGGTTGGTTTTCGGTGTGTTTTCGTTGAGAGTTTGACGTGGGACGGAATGGTACCTTGGTATACCGGTACCGGTAGGTGATTTATTATTATTATTTTAAATGTGTGTTTTAATTTACTTTAAAAATGTCAAAAAGCTTTGTAGTGATAAGTATCTATTTCTTAAGTACTACTTATATGTACAGGGTGTACAGGGTATCCGGCAATAGTGCGTCGGGCATTTGTAGATCCTAAAATAAAAAAAACTTGAGAATTTTGTTTAAGTGTAAACCTAAAGTATGTACAAAGATGTATTTCAGAAAAATATTTTAACTTCTATAAGGTGGCTCAAAAAAGTGTGACTGGTTCGGAATGATTTTTTTTAAACGGAACACCCTGTATGTCATTGCATTTTAGGCTTCTTTTCAGATCACTTCACATAATGCTAAGATATGGATAAATATAATTCGATAGTTTCAGAGATATTAATAAATAAATAAAAAATATCTATTTTTCAAACCTTCATTAAAAAAATATTACAAATACAAGAACTGTCCTCAAATCAAAACTATTTTAGGTATTTACTTTAGATGGTCTATACTTACTTTGCTAAATATCGTAATCTTAAATCATAGAGGATGTTCAAAATTCTACGCCAAATTTTTTAAAATATAAAATAATTTTTCTTTGTTTTTTTTTAAATGGAACACCCTGTATATTATTTTTTTATTAGATAGATAATTAAAAAATGAGCATTTTTGTATTTAAAGTATTTCTAAATTTTTAATGGTTTCGCAGATACAGGCAGTATTATTTCATACGGCTCTTTCGGTAAAATACGAGAGAAAAATCATTGGGTCGCTTTCATAAAAATTTACTATGGAAAATGCCATATGAAATATAAAACTGCGAATATCTGCGAAACCGTTCAAAATTTTGAAGTACTCTAAATACAAAAAAATGGTTATTTTTTAATTCTCCATCTATTGAAAAATTAATATACAGGGTGTTCCATGTAAAAAAAAACGAAGATCCTGTGAACTGAAAGATGAACATCCTGTATAATTTACGATTACCATATTTATAGCAAAGTAAGTACAGAGCATCTAAAGTAATTACATAAAATACTTTTGATTTAAGACAGTTCTTGTATTTTTAGTAACTGTTCCATTTAAAAAAAACTATCCCGATCCACTCACACTTTTTTGAGCCACCCTATAGAAGTTAAAATATTTTCCTGAACTACATCCTAGAACATCCTTTAGATTTACACTTAAACAAAATTCCCAAGTTTTTTGCCGGGCCCTGTATGTACTACAGTGTCTAGAAGCTGTGAAAAAATGAAACTACCAAGTTAACATAAAAAAAGATATGGCCGTATGTGCCACAAGAAACGTGTATTTCGAACCTCTCAAGGGAATCAAAATTTATAGGATATTTTCCGTTGAGCTAGAACTAGCGATGGGAACTATCGAATGAATTAGACTATCGAATGGTTACTGAATGAATGATTTCAACTATCGAATGGTTTTATTCGAATAAAATCATTCATTCATTTGTATACTAAAGCATTTGTGACAACCTCGCCGTGCGACTAAATGGATATCGTTGAGCCACGACTATCGAATGCTTTTGATAAATGAAAAATGAAATTTAGTATTCGTTTGATTTTTGTGTGCGTCACTGGCATTATTAGTTCTTCAAATTTTTATAACTTCACCTTATAAATACTGTGCTATTTTTGCGTTTATTAAAATATTTAAAATACTAAAATAGTAGTTTTTTTAATTGATGATTGTGTGCGTGTGCAGGTGTCAAAATTTTTCCGAAAATTTGTGTGATTTTCCGTAGCCCGATCTTTCAATTATTTTATTTTATATGGTATATATGGTCTATCTTTTAATGGGAAATTTTGAGAAGTAGCAATTTTTAAGAGAAATGAGATGAACTTGAAGTTTTACACGTGCCAATTTAAAAAAAAAGTTAACGATGTTTGTACATATTTTGTTTATGCTAATTCTCTTACATGTAGTTTTCTGCGAAGAAATATTTCATTTATTTTTTAAAGTAAATGCCAGTAAAAGTAAATATTATTTTTAAATAATAATATAAAGTACCTAATATAAATATTTTTGATTTCTAATTTTTCATTTATATTTTCCTTCCATTACACTGCATGCTTAGAAAATTAATAAATGTTTATATTTCATGATTTTAAAGTTTGTTGTTAATATAACAAATTAGCTCTGTAATTATTATTATTTAATAAACCAACGATGCCAAAAATTAAAGATATATTATTTTTAAATATGATCTAATATAAATAATTTTGACATCTAATTTGTTGTTTATATTTTGCTACTACGTAAAAAAATGTTTATATTAAATTATTTTAAATTTTGTTGTTAATAGGTATAACAAATTATTACTGTTATTATTATTTTTATTAAACCAGTCTTTGTTTAAAAACATTAAAAATCATTTCCCTACATCCAAAATATTTTATTATCTAACCTAACCTAACAACAGAATATTAATAAAAAAAATGCAAAATATATAGACATACTATCCCTAACTAACTAAAGCCAAACAATAATATTCTTTGCTAATATCAACTAATACCAATATATGGCAACAGCGCCCTTCATAATGTATTTTCTGTGTAAATACTAGCACCTCAATAAAAAAAATAATGTGTCCTTATCTTTATATGACTCCGCAAAAAATCAAAGATGCCGGCTTCTTTCGAAAGAAATCTACGTCGCCGAGCGACAACTAAAATCCAGTTAATATTTTATTATAATCGATCCTGACGAATAAATGAATTTGATAAATGAATGAATTTTATAAATGAATGGTTTTTGCTGCCGAATTACTAGAATACAATATTTCAAGGCAGATGACGCATCTATTCGATAATTTTTATTCGAATAGTTTTCAACGAATGTTTTTTTACTAGCTATCGAATTATTCGAATGAATTGCAACTATCGAATGTTTCGATAGTATTCATTCGATAGTTCCCACTACTAGCTAGAACTATGAAATTTAACAAGTAATACCGTTTCTGTCTTGTCTGGTTTTTTATTTTTTTTAAATAGACACACATATTTTTCTTTCCTTTTTAATTTATTTGCTGTTAAAAGTAAAGGTACCTCTTTTTTGAATAGTGACCTATAAATTACTGACACTAGTTTTTCTTTTACAGAATGTAATTGTAACGGCTACTCCAATCGTTGCATGTTCGATGCCAAACTCTACGAACTAACTGGACATGGTGGACACTGTCTGGACTGCGCTGACAACAGAGACGGACCTAATTGTGAACGATGCAGGCCAAACTACTACATGAGAGAAGATGGATACTGTACACCTTGCGATTGTGACAAAACAGGTATTTAGTAGCAAAATAAAACACATCCCTCCCATGCGCTATACAGAGTTGTTCACCACATACAGGCCACGGAGTATTGTAGATTCTAGCTAAACGATTAGATTTTTACAAATTGTAAGTTTTGGGTTCGTTGAAGGACTATTTTAGAGCTACAATTTAAAAATATTTTTACAAGATACAGAGTGTCCCAAATAAATAAAAAATATTATAGTTGTATTTTTTTTAAATGGAACACCCTGTATATTATTCTATTTTTTGATTCTACGATTAAAATAAAGGTAAATATGATTAAGGTTTATCAAACTTAACCCTTACCGTTTTTGAAATATTTTCAGTTTTATGAAATTGCAGTAAAAATTTTAAGGCTTCATTTCTCCAAGGGTATGAAACTTTTTAATACTAAATATTTACTGAAGTTTATTTATTTACCAGATATTGTGTTGCAATAATAAACATTTTACTACCTTATACAGAGTGTCCAAAAATGTATATTAAATAATTACTAGCTTTAAACGGCAATAACTTGTTTAATTTAAATGGAACACCCTATATATTTTACGAATCAGATGCACAATGTAATTGTCTATCAAATTGTATTATACCATTTTTTACCCATCTCTTCAAGTTTTCGTAGAAAATGGATTTTCTTATAATTTAGACCTCATTTATCACTATACCCATGGAATATTGACATTTCAGATTTTTATAGCACCATATATGTACAAAATGTACAGGTGGTAAAGCCCATTGGCATACAAAAAAACTATTTAAATATTTGTAAAAGAGTATACCAATTAAATATACCACCATTATTTCCCACAAAAAAAATAGTTAATTACATACTTTAAATTGTTTTAAATTAATAAAATATTCTAAATAAATGTGGATTTGGCCCTGAAATCAATATTATAGTAAGTTATGATAATGAACGTCTCTGTTTTTATAAATATGCATTCGTCAAAAAATGAAATAAAATTTATAAGGTGTTACTTTTTACCATACTGTCTAATACACACGCAAAATTCAGTTTTTTAGTATTTGGAGCAATTATTATTAATCAAGGTAAACAGTCAATTAATGTAGTTTGAATACTGGGATCATATTAATTGGTCCTCTTTAACAAAACATATTTAAACAGTTTTTTTATTTTTTTAATTAAATAAGCGAACTATATCTAAAATATTACTATCTGTACCCTTTGAAATTTTTTTACATCTTTAAAAATTTGTTACATCTTTAAAAATAAGCTAAAATGTCAATATTCCAGGGGTATAGTGATAAATGAGGTCTAAATTAGAAGAAAATGCATTTTCTACTAAAACTTGAAGAGATGGGTAAAGAATGGTGTAATATAATTTGATAGACAATTACATTGTGCATCTGATTCACGTAAAATATATAGGGTGTTCCATTTAAATTAAACAAGTTATTGCCGTTTAAAGCTAATAATTATTTAATAAAAAAATTTGGACACTCTGTATAAGGTAGTAAAATTGGTATTATTGCAACACAATATCTGATCAATAAATAATCTTCAGTAAATATTTAGTATTAAAAACTTTCATACCCTTGGAGAAATGAAGCCTTAAAATTTTTACTGCAATTTCATAAAATTGAAAATATTTCAAAAACGGTAAGGTTTAAGTGTGATAAACCTCAATCAAATTTACCTTTGTTTCAATCGTAGAATCCAAAAATAGAATAATATACAGGGTGTTCCGTTTAAAAAAATAAAACTATAATATTTTTAAATTGTAGCTCTAATAATCTTTCAACGAACCCAAAACTTACAATTTGTAAAAATCTAATCGTTTAGCTACAATACTCCGTGTCGTATGTGGTGAACAACCCTGTATACAATCAACATTTTGATGTGTTTTTAAAGTTAATTATTTCATACTATTTCAATTTTAGGTGCCGCGTTTCAACAGTGCAACTCTGAAGGCAAATGCCAATGCAAACCGGGAGTCACAGGCGAAAAATGTGACCGTTGTGACGAAAACTTCTACGATTTCTCCAAAACCGGTTGCAAATCTTGTGAATGTGACCTATCGGGATCACCACTAAACAAACCCCGCTGCGATCCATACAACGGAGTGTGTTTCTGCAAAGAGAATGTGGAGGGCAAACAATGTGACGTTTGCAAACCTGGATTCTTCAACCTGGATACCGAGAACGACTTTGGATGCACTCCTTGTTTCTGTTTCGGACATTCGTCCAAGTGTCAATCGGCACCTTCGTACGCTAGGTACACTCTGGAGAACAGTTTCTCCAAAGGTGCTGAGAAATGGCGGGCCGAAGACCGTTCTGGTCAGAATGTGGCTGTCAAGTATGACAGGATAACTCAGAGTAAGTTTTTTTTTTGTAATTTTATTTTATTTTTTGCTCAGAGGCTATCAGGTCTTCTATTAAAATTTTTGCATTATTATTTAGTTAAAGTACCGTATGGGGACAATCGACAATCGATAATAATTTTGGTGAGGTCAGTCTCCAGATGTCATTTACTAAAAATTGACATAAAATTTGGTAAAAATTAAGGGTGTATTCCTTTGAATAAGAAGACTAAGGAAGGAGCATATCAAAAATCTTAGGTACACCGCGATGGGCCTCAAATATGGCCGGCTTAAATTCCGGTTTATCAGTGTCGTTCTAATTTTATTTAAAAAATGTAAAACTATGATGTAGGGTAGACGTGGGGTAGTGAATAAATGTTGGTAGTTATTAAAATTGTTATAAAAATATATAATTCTAATAAAAATAGATAAGTTATAATAAGTATTTATTAACACAAACATCCGATACGCTACTGAAGCAGGTAAGTCAAATTAACGTATCTAAATTCATTGACATCTAATCTTTGACAAGTAATAAATAAAAGCTAAAATGCAAGCAATATATAATTTAGTTAATTTAAGTGAATTTCATAAATGATCTGTTTACTGATGCTAACATGTATATTATATAGTCACTTACTAGCGATAAGTTGTTCCATTATTTCACTCAATTTTTGCCGAGATCTACCGCACGCTACACAACCAACTATTTTAGAGTCTTTTTCGATAAATCGCGATAGTGTCACTGTTAATTTGAGTTCTGCCACAATTTCCATCTAGATTTACTACCTTTATACAACAATCAGTAGTAGAATAAATAATAAATAACATAAAATAAGCTCCGTAAAGACTGTACAAAATTACAAACCAAATTCAAATGTGTCAAATGAATCGTCAAACAGAACTGTCAAGGATCCCCACCCTAGAGAGCTTTTATGGTGGCTTTTCCGCCCACCATGCATGAATCCCCATTATGCTCCTTCCTTAGTCTTCTTATTCAAAGGTGTATTCCGTTGCTTACCTTGGTTATGGTTTTATGTTCCGTTTCTATCGGTTTCCTGAAAGTTTCTTATTACGGAACACGGTTCCTGAAAAATTCGGTTATAACCATAGATAAAAGAAAATAATCTTCTATTAAGATAGATATGAAACTTAATAATAAAATTTTGGGTCAAAGCGCCCCTCCGTGTTCTTAGTAGAGACTACGTTTAACCCAGCGCCTTCGCCTTTTCTGCTGTAAATATTTTTTATGTTTATATTTGATTTCAAAGGATTTAGTTTTAAAGTTACACTGATATATTAGTATATCAGAGTAACTTTAATAAAACATAAGAATATATATATTTTACAGTTTATTAAATATAAATTTTGACTACAGGGTAGAAAGTAAATCACAATATTTGATAAAACTTATAAGTATATATACCATTTTTACAGTTAATAAATAATAAAACTATTTCTGACTACGATATTTAAAATTTAGATAGATAGAATATTAAAAAGCATACCGGTATTTGCAGACGCAGGCCCAAATTCAATAAAAACCAAAACTTTTCCTGCGAAAATCGGGCTTTTTTCACAGAAAAGGTATTTTTTTGATTTACCAACAATCATTGTCAAGTTGACAATATACAGGGTGTTTCCTAATTAGTCTAAAAAATTGTGGTGTGATTCCTCATGTGTTCTTAAAACAATTTTTATATAACCATTAGGTCTAAAGTACTTCCTTTCTGATCTACAGGGTGTTAAAAATTAAAAAAAAAATCGATATTTTGCTTAACATAAATGGTACACTACTGCTTTTTTAAAGAAAATATTTTTTTTTTCTTGACTGGCCATCCTTTTTCAACAAAATTGATCTTTTGAGTTTTTCTTGTTCATCAAACGGTTGCCGAGAAAAAAATAAATATACTTATTAAGAGTCCGCCTTAATCCGTTTTCTAACGATTTATTTATTTTTTAGGTTCATTAGGAAACACCCTGTATATGCATATCACAGGCAACCAAATAAACTAGTAACCTCTAAAAATTATTTTTCCTACCACTAGAGACATACCGTGTTTTTAGTGAGTATAAATTATTTTATCAAAATTTCACCATATAAGTTTCCAGGCAATGGTTATAACCATAGACAAACAAATAAAAAGAGACTGACAAATCTCATGGTAAAGAGTGGGATCGCGTTCCCGTAGCGAAACTCAGAATAACAATTTTGAAACCAATTAGCAGGACCATGGCAGGACGTACGTCTTTATTGCTATCTTTCTTTATTATGTGTGCTTCATATGAAAAAGAAAGAGATATGTATAAAACGTATCGTAAGACATTATCGCACATTCTGGCTGGCGGGAAATTTAAATTATCCGTTATTAGTAGTATCCTTTCATTCTGAAACTGAAAATTTTCACTTAAACTGATTTATTCCCTATACCACGTAAAGGGAACGTGGTGTAGGGAATAAATCAGTTTAATTGAAAATTTGCAGTTTCTTTCAGAACGAAAGAATACTACTATTATAAGGGAAATTATAAAAAAAGCAAGAATTGTACTGTTTTATAAACATATTTATTTATACATAAAAATAAATAAACTTTTTATAATATAATAACAAAAAATAACCGTGTTTATTCCACCCACCTACCAATTTTAAATACAGAAGAACTGACTGCTGCAGGAAACAATCGGCCAATTTTTTTAAAGGACATTAAAAATCTCATTTTCGAAAAAAGTGCCTAATTGCAATAACAAGGTGAATATTCAAGCAAAGAAGCCTTTACGAGAATCATGATCCTGAACCATTTTCAAGTCCAGTTTTAATCCTAAAACAAAAGTAAAATAGGTATATTAATAAAGTTTCTGGTTACTAGCTATAAACTACCTACCCAAAAATGAAAAAAATTAATTGTATTAATTTGTTATGTTAAGAGAGGTTTGAAATATTTTTGACACTACTACTTCTACTTTTTTCTTAAGAAGATGATAAATATAACTACTTACTTTTATTTTACGGGTGTCTTTAACATATCTATCAGAGAAAAGGGGCACCAATACATACATATAGATGATACTGGCTCCTGCAGCAAATAAAATAACAAATAGTATAACCTACAATTATAAGTAACAAAATATAAATAGCTATATGGAACAAAGGAATTTGTTCCCTATCCATATTCATAAGTCAATGAAATGGAGAGTTTAAAAAAAAGATAAATCACCAAAAGAAAAATTAACAAACATGACGAATTGTCATGATGTTGTTGAACGAAATTTTGCGTTGTTCTGAATTGCGCTACGGGAACGTTGTCCCTCTCTTTGCCATTTAATTTGCCAGTCTCTTTTTATTTGTTTGTCTATGGTTATAACTGTCACCAAACTAACCAGCGCGAGAAGGCTGGTTTTTCTGGTTTTGTTTGTCAATCAGTGTCATACAGAAGTCAAGCAAATATTGGAAGTTCGAGTGAAATTCTCATTTAGTTTCTAAAATGTGTAATAATATTTTGTATTTACATCCAGAAGTAATGGAGGTAGGCAGTAAAGGTAAATAAATTTCATTAACTAAATAGAATTACTTTTTAGGACCATTTAAATTTATCATGCAGCCATTGTTTCTTAAAGTCAGGAACATTTAAAGAAAACATCAAAAACAAGACAACAAGTAATCGTGAATATTTTTTAAACTATAAAAATATAAATATTGATTAGATTTGTTTATTTATTATTGATCTGTTTTAATATTGGACCTGCAAATCTTCACTTGAGCTGTCTAACGAGTTTCATAGTTTATTAATAAAGTACTTTTCAATATTAAACTCCAATGAGAAGAAGAAGCAAACGTAAAAGCAGAGAATGGGTACATTAAAAATGCATAAAAGATAAATTTTATAATAGAGGTATTGAAATTTAGAAAACGTCAACATTTGACGTTTCCAATATTTTACCAAACCGTTCCGTATCAAACCGATGTTTTTCAGGAACGGGAAGAAGAAAGGATAGATTTTTAGAAAGGATAGATTTAGTACGGGACAAGTAAATGAAGTCTAGGGATTGACCTCGGCAAAATTATCGTCGATTGTCATTCTCCAGCCGTCTTTGACGCTACTTTTTTTTCGATCATACGGTACTTACATGCATTTACACCACAGGTATTGGTGTGCAATCTGAAAGAGACGAATCCATCTACTTCGTGGTACCAGAACGGTTCCTAGGAGACCAGAGAGCTTCGTACAACCAAATCCTGGAATTCTCCTTGAGAATAGGTGACAGCAGAGCTATTCCAACAGCTGCTGACGTCATTCTGGAAGGGAGCGGTAAACGCATCACCATCAACATTTTCGGTCAAGGCAATCCCATCCCTGGCATACAGGTAAAACATTAAATATCATATCGTACGTACGTGGTAAAGTCAAGGACTTATGAGACTACCCTTGTATGTTAATTACTTTATTAGTTATTAATCCTTTGCTACAATATTTTTCTGTCCCAGCCACTGAACTCGATTGACAACAACCGTCAATTTCAGTCAATTTATAAACAGTTCATTTAATACAATAGTAACCTGGAAATAAACAAAGTTCCTACCAGCAGCTGTAATACAAATATACGGGAAGATTAATAAATGCAACATTTGTGTCGTTTTAAAATGGGATAAATACACTAATTTTAGTAAGAAATAAAATTATCTATGTACCACGGAAATTAACAAATGTTAATAACCTCGGGCAATTATTGTCTCTCGGGCCATAGGCCTTGATACATAAATAACTATTATTGAAAAAGAGATATAGTGAGATACTTAGTTAGGTAAGAAATTTAACTATGGTCATTATTTTTCTAGACTCAAACTTATCAGTTCCGTTTGCATGAGGACCCAGAATACCAATGGCAACCTAGATTGAGCTCTAGAGATTTTATTTCCCTGCTTACCAACTTGACAGCCATCAAAATCCGCGGAACTTACTCACCACAAGGAGTGGGATTCCTGGAAGACGCTAAATTGGAGACAGCCCTGAAAGGAGGTCCGGGAGACTCGGCTCTATGGATAGAGTACTGCGAATGTCCTACTGGTAAGTAGATAACAAAAAGTCTGTGAGATATAGAGAAATCAATAAAAGTTGACATGTGCGTCACTAAATTAACGTAACAGAGTTTGTTTAGAGTTAGACAGTTTGTTTAGTTGTTTAGAAAACAGTTACCGATGGTAGATTAAATTGGCTATTCCTCTAAGGTTACACAAGAATATTTAGTTTTAGTAATTGTCTAACATTATTAATTACAATATAGTAAAAAATATATTTCCAAAACTTAAGCTTGATTTTCATGCATCCGTTGTCCGACGATACGATGGTACGATATTCATTTTATTGGTTGAATTTACAGACTACGATTGGTAGAAACGGTTAACCAATCGAAGCATTTAAATTCAACCAATAAAATTAATATCATATCATCATATCGTCGGACAACAGGTGCATGAAAATCAAGCTTTAAAATCGTAAAACCGCTGGGTAATACGCAGTGACTAACTGTTCTGACGGTCCGCCTTTTATAGGTTATAATTCACGGTGTTAAACTATTTAAAAAATCGTTTATTATTCCTTATTTTTGACTGGACTTATATCAAACCATGTTATTATTATACCGGGTGTTGCATCGTCGAGCGGGACATAGGAAATCCCATGTAAATTTTAATGGGGTCATTTATTGGCTTCCCTAATTATTTTAGAGAATAATTCTATTTAGGTTTATTGAAGAGCACTAAAACCCACATTCAAAAGAATAACTTTAGATATTTTTGATTAGCCCGTTTACGAGTTATCGCCGATTTCTTTTTAAATATTTCTCCTTCCTTATGGTCCTGTATTTACTTATGAGCACCAGTCAAGGTAAAAGATAACTGTCAAATGAAGTTGTCATTACAGAAATTTATCTATTTAGTGCTTTATTATTATTATTAAAAACTCATACCTACATCGAAAATATTAGTCATGAATTACACTACCGAAGGAAAAGTATTGATGATTAAATGGTATTATCAAGGAAGTAGTTATCAAAAGGTGTCGGACATGTTTGCTGCTCTGTATCCGAATAGACCGATACCAGGAAAATCTACAATCGGAAGGAATATCCAGAGATTTGAGACCAAAGGTACCCTAATAAATAAATGCAGATGTGAAGCAAGGCAGGAACAAAGAGAAGATGCAAGAAATGATACCGACTTGGAAGTTTTATTGTGCGTGGAAGAGAACGATGGAAAGATCAGCACAACTGAGGATAAAATAGGAATAGATCACACAATAGCGTTTCGAATTTTGAAACGACATAAATACTATTCCTTCAAATATGAAAAGCACTAAGAGCTACGAGATGGGGACGAAATACGGCGGCAGGCGGCTTGTTTTGATATGACGAATGCACGTTTACCTTAAATAATGAACCTAATGTTCAAAATTATCGATATGGGAAGAAAGAAAACCAACACAGGTTTGTCGAAACAAGGACGCAATATCCACAGGAAGTAAATGTTTGGGCAGGGATATTCGGACACAATATTATCGGGCCATTATTTCTTACGCGAAATTTAAATGCAGAATATTAGTTGGAACTACTCGAAAATCATATTTTACCTGCTTTACTTGATGCCGCTAGGGAAAATCAGGAAGTTTGGTACCAAATGGATGGCTACCAGGCACATAGTACCCTGGCTGTTCCGGAATATTCAGACAATAGTTTTAACGGAAACGTTATTGGCCTAAATCATACAGTAAATTGGCCAGTAAGGCCTCCTGATATTTCGCCAAACGATTTCTTTCTCTGGAGCCATTTAAAAAACAGGATATACAAGGATAAAAAATACCCAAATCTAGACGAGTTAAAAAATGCTATTTCTGCCGAATGCAATAGAATTTCATTTTACCAACTAGCGAATGTAAGAAGAGAATTTTATGATCGCCTGGGTTATTGTCTAGCAGTCGACGGAGGAATATTTGAACATCTTCTTAAATCCTAAAGTTCTAACAATTTAATAGTACCTAAATTAATAAGTTATTGAATATTGTAATAATACCATAATTAACCTTGTAATTGATTACTTTATTTTACTTTAATTCATATTAATTTGTATTTATAAATACATCTTTAAGATTTCCGATGTAGGAATGAGTTTTCAATAACAATAAAGCACTAAATAGGTAAATTTCTGAAACGACAACTTCATTTGACAGTTATCTTTTACCTTGACTGGTGCTCATAAGTAAATACAGGGCCATAAGAAAGGAGAAATATTTAAAAAGAAATCGGCGATAACTCGTAAACGAGCTAATCAAAAATATCTAAAGTTATTCTTTTGAATGTGGGTTTTAGTGCTCTTCAATAAACCTAAATAGAATTATTCTCTAAAATAATTAGGGAAGCCAATAATTGACCCCATTAAAATTTACATGGGATTTCCTATGTCCCGTCCGACGATGCAACACCCGGTATATAAAAGAGTCTTTTATTGACATCGAGTCATTCAATAATTTTCCCAATCAGCTCGATATATTGATAATGTTACTAGTATTACTCATCAAGCAATACTACTCTTATATTAATCAATTAACCGTAAACAAATATATCATAATATAATTTTCACTTATAATTAGTAGTGGGAACTATCGAATGAATACTATCGAAACATTCGATAGTTGCAATTCATTCGAATAATTCGATAGCTAGTAAGAAAACATTCGTCGAAAACTATTCGAATAAAAATATCGAATAGATGCGTCATCTGCCTTGAAATATATTAATTCGGCAGCAAAAACCATTCATTTATAAAATTCATTCATTTGTAAAATTCATTTATTCGTCAGGATCGATTATAGTAAAATATAAACTGGATTTTAGTTGTCGCCCGGCGACGTAGGTTTCTTTCCTAGAAACCCGACAGGCGGTTGGCGGTCGGTGGCAATGGTATGAAAAAAGCCGGCATCTTTGATTTTGAGTCAGATAAAGATAAGGACACATTATTTTTTTTATTGAGGTGCTAGTATTTATACAGAAAATACATTATGAACGGCGTTGTTGCCGTATATTCGTATTAGTTGGTATTAGCAAAGAATATTATTCTTTGGTATTATAATTAGTTAGGGATAGTATGACTATATATTTTGCATGTTTTTTTTATTAATATTCTGTTGTTACACTACAATAATACTTTTTATTTTGAATGTAGGAAAATGATTTTTAATGTTTTTTATGCAAAGACTGGTTTAATAAATAATAATAACAGTAATAATTTGTTATACCTATTAACACCAAAATTTAAAATCATTTAATATAAACATTTTTTTAAATAGTAGCAAAATATAAACAACAAATTAGAAGTCAAAATTATTTATATTAGATCCTATTTAAAAATAACATAGTCTCTAAATTTTTTGGCAACGTTGGTTTATTAAATAATAATAATTACAGAACTAATTCGTTATATTAACAACAAATTTTAAAATCATGAAATATAAACATTTATTAATTTTCTAAGCATGCAGTGTAATAGAAGAAAAATATAAATAAAAAATTAAAAATCAAAATTATATATGTGTATTACTTTGTATTAGTATTTAAAAATAATATTTGCTTTTACTAGCATTTACTTTAAAAAATAAATGAAATATTTCTTCGCAAAAATCTTACCTACATGTAAGAGAATTAGCATAAACAAAATACAAATATCGTTAACTTTTTTTTTAAATTGGCACGTGTAAAACTTTAATCAATCAATTTAATTTTCTCATCCCAAAATTTGAGTTCGATAACCATTTACTTATAACCACATTACCACATTACTTAAATATGATTATTAAGTTCCAACTAATTCATATTACTAAAACATCTAAAATACAAATACATATGTATTTTTAAAATTAATTGTAAGCTCAACTCATCTCTCTTAAAAATTGTTACTTCTCAAAATTTCCCATTAAAAAAATAGACCATATACCGTATAAAATTAAATAATTGAAAGATCGGAAAATCACACAAATTTTTCGGAAAATTTTGACCACCTGCACACGTACACAATCGTCAATTAAAAAAACACTACTACTTTAGTATTTTAAATATTTTAATAAAGGCAAAATAGCACAGTATTTAGAAGGCAAGTTATAAAAATTTCGAAGAACTAATAATGCACTGACGCAGACAAAAATCAAACGAATACTAAATTTCATTTATCAAAAGCATTCGATAGTTGTGGCTTAACGATAACCATTTAGTCGCACGGCGAGGTTGTCACATATGCTTTAGTATACAAATGAATGAATGATTTTATTCGAATAAAACCATTCGATAGTTGAAATCATTCATTCAGTAACCATTCGATAGTCTAATTCATTCGATAGTTCCCATCGCTACTTATAATATCACAAGAGCTTAAATTATTTTCGGAAATTTTTTTGAGGGCACGAATATTTTGAAAATTATCCCGAGTCGAAGACGAGGGATAATTTTCCTAAAATATACTGTGCCCGAAAGAAAATTTCCAGGAATAATTTAAGCTTGCGTGGTATTCGGTAAGAAAATTTCACACCTAAATTTGAAAAAAAATATTAATCAACATGACATTTTAAAATAATTTCAATTTGTTAAGTTGGCCAAGGTATTGATGTTTTGACATATTATGTGTTTTGTCATTTTTGTTTGCGATTCTGTTCATTGTAGTTCAGCTTTAGTTAAATAAAGGCGGCAGAACTATATTTTTTAGAACATGGCAATTTCGAAGAAATTCATATGTAGGTATATCTAACATATTTCCTTAAATAAAAAATATTACCAACCTTAGTTACATCAAATGCTAAAACTCAAATGGGTAATATTTCAATATATAGACATTGTAGTTTTTTCACATTATGATTGTAGATCTTATGTTTACCTTTTCAACTGTCAAAAAATTTCCACTAAAGTTTCGTGGCGCCTCGAAAAAATGTCCGGAAATTTTTTCAGTTGCCATGGTAACTAGTCAACATTAAAGCATGTTATTGGTTGAAAAGTAGAGGTGTGAAATTTTCATTATAATAAAATTAAATCATAAAAATATTGTAATTCTATTTCCGCTGTTTAAGTGAAAAGTTTTGTTCTTAAATATCTACTATACATATTAGGTTCGTTCCAACCCGCGTAAGAAACGGTTTCTTACAGTAAGGAGTTTGCGCAGAAGTTGAAAAGCGTTCCAACCGGATTTACTGTCGGTTAGTAAATCATCATATTTTTCTGTTCCATCTTAAATTGAAAACTGTTTGAAAACTGTCAGAACGGTTTGCAAAATTTTCTCGTATCATTTATCCGACGCATGCGTATTACCGTTATAACCACGCCATAACTAATACAATAATAGCAAATTTGATTATACTCGTATCTGTTTGAATAATTTAAACGGGCTGTTTAACTAATTAAAGACTTGTGAATAGATATCATGAGTGACGAAGAGTATAGTACTGAGATTAGTGACGTGTCGTCCATGGAAAGTAGTGATGAGGAGGATTTAGAATTGCTACTAGATGAGCACAGAATTTATAATCAAAATTATATAGGTAAAATCGACATTTTTGCACATAAATTTATCTAATCTCTTATTGTGTTAATATTTTCAGAGGAAACCGTGCCTCAATATTCCAATGAAGTTTTCTTTGAATATTTTAGGCTTACAAGACAAAGTGCTAATCACGTACATAGCTGAAAGGTTTGAAATAAGCCAGCATTTTAATAGCCAAGTTGGCCAATATGGCAATATTCGTGCTTTGCATCAAGTAAAATATAAAATAATCATTTGCTGAAATTGGTGTATTTTCTTTAAAGATAATTACCTTGTTGAGTCATTTTCCTAGTTTTTTCAGAGACAACAACCACAGCAACAACCTTGTTTACTCAATGTTGCCTTAGACGAATTTTAGGTTATGTTATTTTATTTAAAATTGACACTTGACAGACAAAATGTTAAGCAGGTGTTCCTACCCTAGTTTCAAATTGGTCAGAAAACAATTAATTTTACAGACATGCGCATTGGACAAGATTTGCAAATTGTTGCAAATCTGTTTATGATTCATGGTTGGAACGAACCTATTATAAACGTGTGTTGAAATATTAATTTTGTGGAATATATGTCAAGATAAAACGAGATGTTATTAACGAAATATCATCGTAACAATAGATATTTTAGAAACGTCTATGTTTACTTATTTGACTGATATTTATGAAAAAAAAATCCTTTGCCTTGGGTACAGATACCGCCACGTTTTAGAAATAGCTCAAAACAAAACAAAATTGAATGAGGTAACAAGAAAGGCCAAAAAAATACCCCCACGCCCTCTTCACGAGTAGTTTTCAGGCGCTTTTAAGCAAAGTCAAAGTAAAAAGAGTAGCCGTGGCAACAGTGCAACGTACATTCTTGGCGTACACGACAGCTTTTATTAATTTACCTATATTTTTAAATTACAATACTGAATTTGTTGATTTGTTTCAGGATATATTGGACAGTTTTGTGAATCTTGTGCCCCCGGGTACAGACATTTTCCATCTCACGGTGGCTCGTTCTCAAACTGTATTCCTTGCGATTGTAACGGCCACGCTGACATTTGTGAATCCGAGACTGGAAAATGTATCTGTCATCACAACACAGCCGGAGAGAACTGTGAATTCTGCGCCAGAGGATACTACGGCAACGCTCTGGCCGGTAGGCTTAAAAAAATTCACATTTTTTAGACATTTTTGACAAGTTTTTCTTACAGGAACCTCCGAGGATTGTCTACCGTGCAACTGTCCAGACGGGGGCGCCTGTATCCAGCTGGAAGAAGACGTCATCATGTGTACAGAGTGTCCCACTGGATACACCGGCCCGAAGTGTGACATTTGCGCTGATGGTTACTTTGGGGATCCCAGAGGTCTTTTTGGAGCTGCCAGGCCTTGTGAAATATGCGCCTGTAACGAAAACATAGACACTAATGCTGTAGGAAACTGTAACACTACGACAGGGGAGTGTTTGAAGTGTATCTACAACACTGACGGTTTGCGGTGTCAAAAATGTTTACCAGGTATGTTTCTGCAATTTTGATAAGGTTAGAGTTTAAAGTTTATGGGGAGAATATACAGAGTGTCCCAGAAATAAGTGCAGATATTTTAAGGGGTGGTAGATCTCGATAAAAGAAACATATTTTCTCTTTACTGTTTTTCAAAATTTTCAAAAAAAAATACTTTTTGTTTAAATTTTGAGAACCACTGTATCTTTTCTGGGTTTTCTTTCTTGTAAATTTAATCTACTACATACCTATGTTGCCATATTATCAAGAAATAATGTTTTTTAATTAAAAAAATTCCAAAATTTTATTAAAAAAGTTCCAAATTTTTATTTTTTTTTCCGCGAAAAAACCCTCATAGGCGTGTTTCTGGGGTCGAAATATACTACTAGGTAAAATATTTGCACTTATTTCTGGGACACCTTGTATAGCATCATCAGCCGATGATTAAATTTATTTCTACAAATTCAGCGTTTATACCGGGTGCGTCTCAAAAGTGACTCACCTAAAGGACTCATCCCTATAACTTTTTTATTTATTCAGGTAAAAAAAAACGATATTTGGTTTGTGAGTATATGATATAAATTAGTATTTAGTGGCGTATTCAATTGTTTTCGGTCACTTCCGGTTTCACCGGAAATGACTACAATATTTGATTTTTAAATGGCACCCTCGGTATTTCATATGTCAACTTTTGACATTTTCGCATATGGTTTATTTCAAATTGTAACATACGCGGTTCATAACGACAATTTGACTCAAAATACCAAGTGTGCGGTATCAAATTATTCGTAAAAAAATGTTTTTTCCAAATATGCTAATGAACCACCCTTGTTCTATTTAAAAAAATTGAGATATGATTAAAAATACGATTTAAGCATCTTTTAACCGTCCAGGACACGAAAAACATTAGACGATCAAATCTATCTTTCCAAGGCTCCTTGATTAAAAATTAGTGTTTTTAACACAGCCATGGCACTCTAGATTGTAATAATTTAAAATACAATTTTTTAAGCGAAAATGTCAAAAGTTGACATATGATATGTCATTCTATTCAGAGTGTCATTTTCTATCGAATAAAGTAAACATATACCGAGGGTGCCATTTAAAAATCAAAAGTTGTAGTAATTTCCGGTGAAACAGGAAGTAATCAAGAACAATTGAATTCGTCAATGAATCCTAATTTATGTTATATACTAACATACCAAATCTCGTTTTTATCTGAAAAAAAGGGGTGAGACACTTTTGAGACGCACCCAGTATACAAAAAAAACTTGTATTACCTTCATGATGGTGTAATTTTAATTAATTAAAGAATTGCCTCATATTTTGTTATTTTACCTAGGCTACTATGGAAATGCGTTGGTTCTGCCTAAAGGCGATTGTAAGAGATGCGAGTGCTACCCGGTCGGTACTCAGCTGGACAAAAATCAAGAAACTATTTGCGATCAAAGCACGGGGGCGTGCTTGTGTAAGCCTCACGTTGTTGGCAAGAATTGTAATCAGTGTGAAGATGGGTACTTCAACCTTGGAAGCAACGAGGGATGCGAGAGCTGTAGCTGTGATCCCGTCGGATCATACAATCAAACTTGCGATGTTTACACTGGACAGTGTTATTGTCGACCAGGCGTTACAGGGTAAGGCCTCTCCTCCGCTCTAATAAATTTGTCCTCCGAAACACAGTCTGAAAGAATTAAATAATCCTTAGAGATATGTTGATATAGGGAGATCATGGAACAATTATGTTTACATAAAAAATCGCTAAAATTGAAATACAAATAATTATTATAATAAATGGAGATTGTGGTTTTTTAAGAGAACCGGCTTTACATTTATAGAAACTGTATATAAACATAATTATTATAATATACTTACCCTTAAATTATAAAAACACTAATCACCCACGCATTGAGACGCTCACCTGTTGAAAAAATTGCTTAGATTAAAATGTTCTTCGTCTTTCCTCTAAATACGTTTTCAATTGATTACTTAATTCGCATCAGCTTCACAAGGAGTCACGTGACATGACGTCATTTTTTACTAAATATATTATGGTAAATTCACACAAGTTTTGTGAATATGTCTAGAGATATGCAATTTTATAAGATTGTATTTCTGATTTAAATTTTTTATTTTTTGAACTCACAAAACTCATTTTGAAAATACTATCGTTTAGTAATAATCATTTAATATTAATAAACTGTTTTGCAAAATTACATTTTTTAAAATGCATCTGGCTTATACAGGGTGAGTTTCCTACGATGTTCTCTATGGGTATCTCGGAAACTACTGGGGATAGAGAGTCGGTTAAATGGGGAAAGAATCGCAGTTTTGTGGGGTCATCAATATGCGCCTTTTAGATCTTTGAAAAAGTTCATGGCTTACTAGATATTTCGAAAAAAACAAATTTTGGCTTTTTTAAAAATTGTCCCTAATTCCATTATAATCTATTTTAGACAAAAAGTTTTCAGGTAAAAGTTGTAGATAATCACATCCCTAATGAGATTGTGTTCTCCGACTTTTTCTAAAGCCTGTCATTTTTGACATACGACACAAACATATGTTTTATTAAATGGAAACCATATAGTTGGCCATGACTTCATAAAAAGCGCCATCTTTTAAGCTTTTCAGCTATATAGGCTATAATATGTTTCTTTCGCAAAATTACTGAGTTATAGCCAATTCTTATCTTTCTTGACTAATTTCACTTAGTTAGCCATGGAAACAAGTTCAATCGTCGTTGCTCTCAGAAATATGAAATTGTCACATCCAATCTTTGTAAATTAAAATAAACAAAAATTGTAAATAAGAGTTTTTCACCGCGCTTCAGCTGACAGTTGTGACGTCATTGTAGCCCTTGTCAAAGCCTTCGTGGCCTTGTCATGATAGTGTGTATTATTAGTTGCCTATGGTAAACTTATATAAAAATAACAGCTGAGAAATTTTGAGTTAATTATTTTGTCAATTTTAAATGTGAAAAGGTGTCTTTAAATTTTAGAGCTATAGAGTGTATAAATACGTTCATTTCGTGTTGTGGATTGTGACAAAGTGCATACTTGTGCCCACGATTTTGTTTATTAATTATTTTAAACAAAATATGGAAGTACTCTAAAAGAATGAAGAAAAGCGTGTAGGATTATTGGAACTGCTTTTCTTAAAAAAATGCAGTTTCGAAGTATTTAATACGATTTATACAGTTAATTTTCTATAATGCATACATATAAGGTGTTTAAATAAATAAACTATAACGTTTTAATTCGGTAACTCAAGGAAGAAAGAGTGTGTGTATTATTGGTTGCCGGATAAGGACTAATAACCATGACAAGGGTTACAATGACGTCAAAGCGAGTAGTTTTCGCATGCACGTGGCGGACACTTTTGGCTGAATGATAACAACAAGGTTTACAAAAGAACTTATGAATTGAGAGAAGCACTCGAAGAGGCGAAACAGGAGAAGTTTAATTAAGTCGACCGGTCGTTCGGTGAGAATAGCTAGAAATTCAAAAAAGATGCATTTATGTACTCAAAACAATTGCGGATTTTTTGAAAATTTTCTAAAATAACTTGTAGTGATATTATTTTTTAAGTTTTAGTTTGTGTAATGCAAATTGTAAAGAGCCGTTTAATAATAAATTTTTGTCTCTTTATAAGTTATAAATCATAACAAATTTAGAACACTATTGAAAACCGTTCTCTAAAAACGTAAGTAACTTTCACCGGTCAACGTATCCTCGAAACTGTATGACCAAGAAAATTTGAACCAATAATCCTACACGCTTTTCTTCATTTGAAAAATGTTTATTTACAATTTTTGTTTATTTTAATTTACAAAGATCGGATGTGATTTCACATTTCTGAGAGTAACGACGATTCAACTTGTTTCCATGGTTAACTAAGTGAAATTAATCAAGAAAGAATAGAATTGGTTATAACTCAGTAATTTTGTGAAAGAAACATATTATAGCTTATATCGCTGAAAAGCTTAAAAATGGCGCTTTTTATGAAGTCATGGCCAACTATAATTTCCATTTAAAAAAACATATGTTTGTGTTATAAGTCAAAAATGACAGGCTTTAGAAAAAATCGGAGAACACAAACTCATTAGGAATGTACAACTTTCTTTTATCTGAACACTTTTTGTCTAAAATAGATTATAATGGAATTGGACAATTTTTAAACTAGGCAAAATTTGTTTTTTTCGAAATATCTAATAAGCCATGAACTTTTTCAAAAATCTGAAAAGCGCATTTTTATTAGCGATGGGAACTATCGAATGAATTAGACTATCGAATGGTTAATGAATGAATGATTTCAACTATCGAATGGTTTTATTCGAATAAAATCATTCATTCATTTGTATACTAAAGCATATGTGACAACCACGCCGTGCGACTAAATGGTTATCGTTGAGTCACGACTATCGAATGCTTTTGATAAATGAAATTTAGTATTCGTTTGATTTTTGTATGCGTCAGTGCATTATTAGTTCTTCCAAATTTTTATAACTTCGCCGTATAAATACTGTCCTATTTTTGCGTTTATTAGAATAGTTAAAATACTAAAATAGTAGTTATTTTTTAATTCTATTTATTGACGATTATGTGCATGTGCAGGTGGTCAAAATTTTTCCGAAAATTTGTGTGGTTTTCCGTAGTCCGATCTGTCGTTTATTTAATTTTATATGGTATATGGTCTATTTTTTAATGGGAAATTTTGAGAAGTAGCAATTTTTAAGAGAGATCAGATGAACTTACAATTAATTTTAAAAATACATATTTGTATTTTAGATGTTTTAATAATATGAATTAGTTGAACTTAATAATATCATATTTAAGTAATGTGGTTGTATAATCATATTTAAGTAAATGGTTATCGAACTCAAACTATGGGGTGAGAAAATTAAAATAAAAGTTTTACACGTGCCAATTTAAAAAAAAAAGTTAACGATGTTTGTATTTTGTTTATGCTAATTCTCTTACATGTAGTTTTTTGCGAAGAAAAAATATTTCATTTATTTTTAAAGTAAATGCCAGTAAAAGTAAATATAATTTTTAAATAGTAATATAAAGCACCTAATATAAATAATTTTGATTTCTAATTTTTTATTTATATTTTCCTTCCATTACACTGCATGCTTAGAAAATTAATAAATGTTTATATTTCATGATTTTAAAATTTGTTGTTAATATAACAAATTAGTTTTGTAATTATTATTATTTAATAAACCAACGTTACCAAAAAATTTAGAGACTATATTATTTTTAAATAGGATCTAATATAAATAATTTTGACATCTAATTTGATGTTTATATTTTGCTACTACTTAAAAGAAAATATTTATATTAAATGATTTTAAATTTTGTTGTTAATAGGTATAACAAACTATTACTGTTATTATTATTTATTAAACCAGTCTTTGCTAAAAAACATTAAAAATAATTTTCCTACATCCAAAATAACAAGTATTATTGCAGTGTAACAACAGAATATTAAAAAAAATGCAGAATATATAGTATATATATTCTATTTATAGAATATATATTCCCTAATTAACTAAAGCCAAACAATAATATTCTTTGCTAATATCAACTAATACCAAAATATGGCAACAGCGCCTTTCATAATGTATTTTCTGTGTAAATACTAGCACCTCAATAAAAAAAATAATGTGCCCTTATCTATATCTGACTCCGCAAAAAATCAAAGATGCCGGCTTCTTTCATAGCATTGCCACCGACCGCTGTCGGGTTTCTCGGAAAGAAACCTACGTCGCCGGGCGACAACTAAAATTCAGTTAATATTTTATTATAATCGATTCTGACGAATGAATGAATTTCATAAATGAATGAATTTTATAAATGAATGGTTTTTGCTGCCGAATTACTAGAATACAATATTTCAAGGCAGATGACGGATCTATTCGATAATTTTTATTCGAATAGTTTTCAACGAATGTTTTCTTACTAACTATCGAGTTATTCGAATAAATTGCAACTATCGAATGTTTCGATTGTATTCATTCGATAGTTCCCACTACTAATTTTTATGACCCCACAAAACTGCAATTCTTTCCCCATTTAACCGACTCTCTATCTCCAGTAGTTTCCGAGATGCCCATAGAGAACATCGTAGGAAACTCACCCTGTATATTATATATTACTACTCACCAATGACTAAAGAATCCAAGGACAAATAATACCCGAGAGCAAATTGTTACCATGCCACCAAACAGTGCCGTGGCACATATTTTTCTTAGCTTAGCTGTTTTAAGAGATATTTATATTTTTTGATAAATGTTTTGACTACGTCTATGGTGTACACGGTGGTATCATACTAATTAATTACGAAAAAAAACATATTAAAATGTTAACAAAAGGTACAAAACTAGTATCGACGTATAGCACACATCAAACATATAATATCTGAAAAATAATTATCGAATTCAATAAGAAAACTAAGAAAACGGTAAAAAGGTGGAGTAGACTATTTATTTACCTATGAAACGTGGCTTTTACGCTTGAAAGGCTGAACAATTAATCACCATTGTAATAAAGTTTATACAAAGTTCACTACACACAAACTATTAAAAATCGCTTAAATTGTCGCTGATGACCAGCTGATGACTCATTCGTTGCCACCAACAAAATTGCGTATAACATCACAAATTCTATTGCAGCCCGTATATGGGCGTTACGTGTCCTTGTATTCTTTAGTCATTGCTACTCACTATGAGTTAACCTGTACATGGCAGATCTGGCTCCGCCTTGTATAAAAATGTGTAGTGGTGGTAGATTCGCCAAAACCTCAAGAAAGAAGACCAAACACATTGTCAGACTTTATGTTGGGTAAAAAATACCCAAAAAATATTCAACTTAAAATAAACTGAATTGCCACACGTGCCTAACTCTTTCTATTATTCTATTATTGTTATTATTATTTCAGACCAAGATGCGATCATTGTGAAGTAAGGAAATACGGCTTCTCGTACGAAGGCTGCAAAGAATGCGACTGCGATAGAATCGGTTCCGTAGACCTCCAATGCGGTCCCTCGGGCCAGTGTCCTTGCAGGGAGAACGTAGAGGGTCGAAGATGTGACAGATGCAAGGAAAATAAATACGATAGACATAGAGGCTGTCTTCCTTGTCCGGACTGTTACAATCTGGTCCAGGACGCTCATACAAGTCACAAGGGGAAACTGGATGAACTCAATGATATACTGATAGAGATTGAGAGTCGCCCAACTGTGATTGCTGACCAGGATTTCCCTATACAGTTGACAGAACTGCAGGTACAAGACTATGTTAACCCCTCGGGCAGGCGCGTACTTAGCCCACGGCCACACAGAAAGCGTTTTTTGCGTTTTTAGCGTGAAGCGTCTTTAGCGACTAAAACAAAATAACAGGATTATATAGGAGTGGCCACACCAAAAGCGTGTAGCGTTCGGCGTGTCTCGCAAAAAACGCAAATGAAAACAAATCAGTTTGTTTTCTGTAGCGTCTTTAGCGTTTTCTAAGATGAGACCCCGTCATAGGCGGACGTTATATTTAATAATACAATAAAAATAAATTAAATAGTATGCATTTTTTTTCATTTTAGAGTATTATCTAAAAATATTTTTATAAAGAACATCTACTGTTGAGGAAGATTCTATTAAATTCAAAAATTTGAAGGAAATGTTTGAAAAAGTGTCGTTTGAAATGTTGAAAAAGTAATAAATTAAAGGATTATTTTCTTACGCGTAAAAAGTGTTTTTTTCTGCGTAAATAAGTTTTTTTAACAGAAACAAATAGTTTTTGACGCGTAAAAAATAGTGTTTTACGTGTAACCAATAGTTTTTTACACGTAAAAACGTACGCGTAAAAATGACGCTTAAAAATTAGTTTTTTACGTGTAACAATTAGTTTTTTTACAAGTAAAAAATATTTTTTTTTGCGTAACAAAAGGTTTTTTACCATAATAAGCTTTTGACGCGTAAAAAAATATTTTTTTACGTGTAACAAATAGTTTTTTACAGGTAAAAAATATTTTTTTTTGGTAAAAAGTTTTTTTACCAGAAACAATAAGTTTTTGACGCGTAAAATTTAGTTTTTTACGTGTAACAAATAGTTTTATACACGTAAAAATATTTTTTTTTGCGTAAGAAATGTTTTCTAACAGAAACAATAAGTTTTTGACGCGTAAAAAAATAGTATTTTACGTGTAACAAATAGATTTTTACACGTAACAAATAGATCTATATGCGTAAAAAATAGTTTTCTACCAGTAACAAATAGTTTTATACGCGTAAAAAATAGTTTTCTAGCAGTAACAAATAGGTTTATACGCGTAAAAATAGTTTTTTACGTGTAAGAGTTTTATTCGCGTAAAATAATAAAAATAGTTTTTTACGTGTAACAAATGTTTTTTTACACGTAATAATTTGATTCAGTTTTACAAAATTTGTATTAAAGTATCAATATTTTTGATAAACACGTGGACTGCTCACAAATATACGTCGCGTCACTACGGATTTCTAAGCCGTTAACACGTTTCGTTACAACGAGCTCGTATGTCAGTTCGTCTCACTAGCTCGTTTGTCACGGCCTTGAATTTTTACTCCCAGCGCGCGTAAAGAAGTTTCACTCCAAAATGTTTCATAAATCATGTCGCATCATGTCATGTGCATTACACAATATGCATTACCTGCAATAATAAAAGATATTTTCTTTAAAGTGTATAATTCTATCTAACACACTTCTAATAAAGCATACTCTGACTCTTTGAACATTTGTTACAGCTTCTAATAATTAGGTATATCAATAACTTCCTAAGAAATTTTGTTAGCGCTTTTAGTTAGTTTACCATTTTTCTCAATATATTCTGCATAATATATGACTCGATATATTCACCTAGAATAAAATCAATAATATCATTTATGAATAGAAAACTACATGTATAGCTTTTTCGTTAATATTTGCAATTTCAGACCAGAACTTGTCCGAAGAGAACTTTCTTGGTTTGTTTAAAAATATCTTACCCTATAACATAAATTTACATCTGAATTAATCTAATCAGATCAAATTTTCTTCATAGTATAGAAAACATCGAAACTGTTTGACTGGTAATCGAGGTATCAATAAGCTGACACTAAAATTTAATGCATAATTAAATGGGATAATTATTTTCATGTAAAACAAAACTTGCAAAAATTGCATTAGCAACTATAAATATTTACTATTCTATTATATAATTATAATTATTTATTATACTATAATTATAACAAGTACTAACCACAACACTACAACATAAAAAAACTATACACATATAAATTAAAATTCGTAAAATATATGGCAAATAATAATTATTATTTTTACACATACCACTGGCACTAGCAGTAGATTGTCTTTGTCTCCGAATCAAGCTCCGAATATACGCCCCGGCCCGTCCACAATTCAATCCCAGCATCTTTTATCTTCGTCTCTTCAACGCTAACGGCGCCGATCTCGCCTATCTCTTTCTCACAGGATTGATTGTTGGACGGGCCGGGAATCCACGAGCTTGCGACGTTACTAATTGACATTATTGATAGAAACTGCAGACCTGCCGCGTCTTTTGCGTGTTTTTAATGGACACAAATCGAAAAAAACGCTTAAAACGGTAAAATCGCAAAAAGCGCTTGAGACGCAAAAAACGCAACACGCTAAAAACGCTTTCTGTGTGGCCGTGGGCTTAGAACCACACGACCGGGCGCGTAGCGGTATTTCGTACCACATTAATTCCTACTAATGTTCGTACCGGAAATTCAAATAATTCGTTTTCTGACACATTGAAATAAATTGTCTGACTGTTTGACACTTAATGGCAAAGGAAGCTAGACAAAATCAAGGAAAATATACGTTTTCAAACTAAATCTTAAATAACTTAAAAACGATTTATTTTAGGTATAGGAACATGTATACTCAAAAAGTAACGAATTGGAAAACCTTTTCCCTAGTAAAATAAAAAAGTGGATTTTCATTTGAAAAAAATGATTTATGATAGTTTTTTATTGCTCAATTCCATGACAGCTACCGCCATTATTATATGACATTTGAACTATTTCATTTTTGAAATAGATAGCCACATGTTTTCTCTTTATGACACAGTGGCTGTGGTAATCACTAAATTTGACTTTTAGGCAATTAATATTATATATTATACAGGGTTGTTCACCACATACGACACGGAATACTGTAGCTAAACGATTAGATTTTTACAAATTGTAAGTTTTGGGTTCCTTGAAGGACTATTAGAGCTACAATTTAAAAATATAAGTATAATACAAATAAGTTACAGAGTGTCCCAAATAAATAAAAAATATCAAAGTTTATTTTTTTTAAATGGAACACCCTGTATATTATTACATTTTTCGTTTCTACGCTTAAAATAAAGGTAAATTTGATTGAGGTTTATTACACTTAAATCTTACCGTTTTTGAAATATTTTATTGTGAAATTGCAGTATAAATTTTAAGGCTTCATTTCTCCGAGGCTGTCAAAGTTTTTAATACTAAATATTTACTGAAGTTTATTTATTGATCTGTTATTGTGTTGCAATAATAAAAATTCTACTACCTTATACAGAGTGTCTAAATATTTATTTTAAATGATTATTAGCTTTAAACGGCAATAACTTGTTTAATTTAAATGGAACACCCTGTATATTTTATGAGAATCAGATGCACGATTTAATTGTCTATCAAATTGTATTATACCATTTTTTACCTATCTCTTGAAGCTTCCGTAGAAAATGCATTTTCTTGTAATTTAGAACTCATTTATCAATATACCCATGGAATACTAACATGAACACCTTAAAAATGATATTTAATTTTTTGACAAATGCTTATTTATAAAAACAGAGACGTTCATTTTCATAACTTATTATTACATTGATTTCTGATTCAAATCCACATTTATTTAGAATAATTTATTAACGAACACAATTAAATATGTAATTAATTAGTATTTGGGCGGAAATACTGGGGATATTTAATTAATGGTATACTCTTTTAAAAAGATTTAAATAGTTTTCTTTCTGCAAACAAATGGGCTAGTAATATCATCGTTTTACTAAAAACGATAATATTTCTAGCCTGTACATTTTGTACATTTGTTGTTTTAAAAACAATCTAAAATGTCAATATTCCATGGGTATATTAATAAATGAGGTCTAAATTATAAGAAAATGCATTTTCTACGAAAACTTGAAGAGATAGGTAAAAAGTGGTATAATACAATTTGATAGACAATTAAATTGTGCATCTGATTCTCATAAAATATACAGGGTATTCCATTTAAATTAAACAAGTTATTGCCCTTTAAAGCTAGTAATTATTTAAAATAACTTTTTAGACACTCTGTATAAGGTAGTATAATTTATATTATTGCAACACAATAACTGATCAATAAATAAACTTCAGTAAATATTTAGTATTAAAAACTTTGATCCCTCGAGGAAATCAAGCGTTAAAATTTATACAGCAATTTTACAAAATTGAAAATATTTCAAAAACGGTAAGGTTTACGTGTTATAAACCTTAATCAAATTTACCTTTATTTTAATCGTAGAAACTAAAAATGCAATAATATACAGGGTGTTCCGTTTAAAAAATTCAACTTTGATATTTTTTATTTATTTGGGACACTCTGTATCTTGTAAAAATATTTTTAAATTGTAGCTCTAATAGTCCTTCAACGAACCCAAAACTTACAATTTGTAAAAATCTAATCGTTTAGCTACAATACTCCGTGTCGCATGTGGTGAACAACCCTGTATATACATATATTATATATTCAATTTTTTTTGACAGGTAGTTTTTTTCGTCCAAAAATTTTAAATATTTTTTTTGCTCAAAAACGGTTAATGTTAGATATAGAGTGTTCGACATCAATATTCATAGAATTTTACAGAGAATTTAAGTATGTAATAAAAAACGGGGGCACCCATTTAAAATAAGAAAATTGCTGTCAACTTCCGGTATTTCCGGAAGTGCCGCCATATTAAAAATAATTTTAATCGATAGATCTCGTTGTAAAACAATAATGTGCAAAAAAATCTCCGATCTAGATATTGTGGTTCTCTAGAAACTTCTAATGCACGCTCAGCCTGGGACACCCTGTATACGTATCGATATGTTGTCTTAAATTGTATATCTCTAATTATTGTAGGACAACATCGACGAGTTCCATAACAAGGTAAAAGAAGCGACCGGGAATCACAGCGTGACGCATCAGGTGGAAGACATCAAAAGACGCAGCGGCGACGTTGCCAGGTCTCTGGAAACGGTCAGGGAAAACATCGATATCATCGAGCAGAGAAACGACGATGCCGACAGGAATAACAAGAACAGCGAAGTTGTCTTGGAGTCGGTAAGTCTATTTTATTTCCTGCAAAAATAATTGAAGCTTGTCAGTTTGACTTGATGATGTTTAAGTAGCGTATTTGATATTTTTGATATTAAACAATTATTATAACTTGTCTATTTTTATGAGAAATGTACTGCAAAATAAAACGCTAGATCACCACATTACACCAAAACACTTTTACTTTTACACAGGACGTGCATTTCGCTAACCATGTTAGGATCATCAGCAGATGATTAAAACTCATAACTCATATTCAGGGCTTGTTGTAGACAATTCTCTGAAATGGGACATGCGTATCGACGCTTTGTCGAAAAAATTAAGCTCTGCCTGTTTTGCATTAAGATCTGTTTCTAAGGAGCTTAACTTGTCAGTGGCTAGAACTGTTTATTATGCACTTTTTGAGTCGCACCTCAGATATGCCCTTCCATTCTGGGGTGCGTGTTGTGCGACTCAATTTGACCGCATTTTCAAGCTCCAGAAGAGAGTTGTTCGATATTCACTGGGACTAAACAGTAGAACCCATTGCCAGGACTTTTTTAAAAAATTAAAAATATTAACTCTTCCTTCCTTATTTATATTTGGATCCGTTTGCGTAATACGTAAGCATGTATCAGCTTCTCAAGATAGGCCATCTCACACTTATCCACTCAGGAACACGGAAGATCTTTATCTACCTACCCCACGCTCAGAGTTAGTTAAAAGTTCAATATTATACAACTCGAAAAAAATGCACAATCGCCTGCCATTTGAAATCAAATCCATAACATCATTTTCTTCATTTCGCAAAGCATTGAAATCTTTTTTACTAGACAAGGCTTTCTACGCCGTAAATGCCTTGATAATAATTTAATTTATACTAATATTTTGATAATCGAATTTGATCTTGTAAACACTGGTCTAATGTTTGCTATTACTATTGTTGCGGACCCGTACCGTGTGAACTCGGCCTTAGGCTTCAGGCGCCTGCTATGACTCATACGCCCACCGACGTTCGAAGAACGCCGCTAAGAATTTTCGAGAAAAGTCTGGATTGTCTGTTTCTCTCATATATAAGCCGATGCCCGAAACCTGAGGAGGATAGAGAGAAAATAACCGATCGACGCGTACAGTTACAATCGCCGCGCTAATTCAAAATAAATTGCTGTTAGATAAATAATTAGATAAATTGTAAATAAGTTATAAATAGTTCTTTAAGTTTTCTTTTAATCGTTATTGTTTGTTAATTAGTGTTAAATAAATTGTGTTTAAATAAATTGTGACTTTCTGTCCACACGGAACCGACGAAAAACGTAACACTATATTTACCAATGACATCGAAATTAATTTATTTGGAGTTCATTGATATTTACTATAAACTTACTAAATATTTTTGAATCTTATTTTTATTTCTTTATTCTTTGACATTGTAAACATTTATAAATGTTTATTTTAAACAATAAGACTGACAATGTAATTTGTATAATGTTTTGTATTCTCTTTTGTTTCTTTGTTTGCTTACTTTACCTTTGTCTACAAATTGTAAAATTTTTTAACAATAAAGGCATTTATTTATTTAGCTCAAACACATACTTTAGGTTTACACTTAAACAAAATTTTCAAGATTTTCCCCTGTATATTTACATATAGAGTTTATACTTAATTGTTTAGTTTACCAAATTTGTACTTACAATTTCAGTTGGAAGTAGCCTTGAATGACATCAGATCAAACTTTGACACCAAAGCCCGAAAAGCCTTGGATGACGCGACCAAAAGGAACGATCTGGTTGGTCAGCAATCAGGCAAGATGACCAACATTTCTCAAGAAGCCAGGAAGTTAGCCGATCAGCTGGACAACCAAGCTGAAGCTTTGGTTGCAAAAGCTAAAGAAGCTAAAAACAAATCGGTTGAGGTTTATGAACAGGCCAAAAAATCCAACACAGATCAGGCGAGTAAAAATGAATGAGCTTAAAAATTTTCCGATAAAGTCTTACCAAAACCTATTATCTGGGATTTAAGCGGTTATAACTGGTACAAAAAAGCTTTAGACAATAAAATCTATTTTTCCAAGGTTCCTAGATTAAAAATTAATGATTTTTAAGTGAATTTATAATATTAACTATTGTCGACAGGTTTCGGTCACTGATCAAGCGAGAAAACTCAAGAAAGACATCTACGATGCCGAAAGGAAACTCAACGAAACTCAATCTTTCACCGAAGATGTTAACAAAAAAAGTAAACAAGTCAAAGAAGACGCTGTCAGACTCTTGAGCGAAGCCAACAACTTAGAAATCCCAAATGTCGACTTGCCCGCTTTGGAAAAACGATCCGACAAAGCCAGAAGCGAAGCTGACAGACTGGAAAAACGACTAGAGGCACTTTTTAAAAATAGGTATGTTGATTTTAACATCATCATCATCATCGTTTTCAGCTTATTCAACCATTTCCAATTATGGTGTAGCTTCCCTCGCATATTTAGATATAGTAAACGCCACGAATGTTTGGGAGTGATTCATCACTTGATAAAGTTAGAATCGACACGCGCGCTATCATTTTTACATTAAAAACGTAAATTTTTACCGCAGACGTAGGTTTTTAAAGGCCCGATCTAATCATCTGCCTGCGCTCCTCCTACTTATTCTAAAATGTTAGCGTGATTGACAAAGACGATACTATATCGCGTTTCTTTGATTGATTCGTTTTTGTGCGTCAGTCCATTGGTGTGCTTGCAGTACGACCAATGGGGCATTCCAGTTTATATTTATAACCAAATATATGTTTTGACCTTTGAATAAGAAGAGTAAGGAAGGAGCATAATGCCATCCATGTATTCATGCATGGTGGGCGGAAAAAGCACCATAAAAGCACTCTAGGGTGGGGATCTTTGACAGTTCTGTTTGACAATTCATTTGACACATTTGAATTTGATTTGAAATTTTGTGGATTTGTCGGTCTTTACGGAGCTTATTTTATGTTATTTATTATTTATTCTACTACTGATAGTTGTATAAAGGTAGTAAATCTAGATGGAAATTGTGGCAGAACTTAAATTAACAGTGACACTATCGCGATTTATCGAAAAAAGACTCTAAAATAGTTGGTTGTGTAGCGTGTGGTAGATCTCGGCAAAAAATTGAGTGAAATAAAGGAACAACTTTTCGCTAGTAAGTGACTATATATAATATACATACGTGTAGTAAACCGATCATTTATGAAATTCACTTAAATTAACTAAATTATATATTTTTTTCTTGCATTTTAGCTTTTATTTATTACTTGCCAAAGATTAGATGTCAAAGAATTTAGATACGTTAATTTGACTTACCTGCTTCAGTAGCGTATCGGATGTTTGTGTTAATAAATACTTATTATAACTTATCTATTTTTATTAGAATTATATATTTTTATAACAATTTTAATAACTACCAACATTTATTCACAACGTAAAATAAAACAACAAATTAATGAGTCTACCCCACGTCTACCCTACATCATAGTTTTACATTTTTTAAATAAAATTAGAACGACACTGATAAACCGGAATTTAAGTCGGCCATATTTGAGGCCCATCACGGTGTACCTAAGATTTTTGATATGCTCCTTCCTTAATCTTCTTATTCAAAGGTTTTGACAAGACTTTGACAATTAAAACAATAAATTACAACAGATTATATATTGATTATTATATGATTTGAAACACCACGGCACTGGAATTAAGTTTTATGTGACCTTGAACAGATTGGTTTACATGGTAGCGACCGATGAATCACTCCCAAACATTCGTGGCGTTTACTATACTCTCTTTGTAGATGAGCCCAATGTTGTCTATTGTTAGCTACGCGGGACCAAGTTATCCCTAGATGACATCTATTACTTGGGTCTTTTATCGTATCCACTGTATTTTTTGCAGTCTCTCTTGATTATTTCCAGCATATTTCGTTCCATTGAGCGTTGTGCGACCTGCAGTTTCCATATAATGTCCGTTTTAGGTGTCCAGGTTTCGCACGCATAGGTAATGACAGGTAGCACACATTGGTCGAATGTGTTCTTCTTTAGATAGACTGGCATTCTATATTTGAATATGATTTAGTTTCTTGGATAAGTACTCCATGCTAACTTAATTCTTCTGTACATTTCTGGTTCAGCAGAGATCCCGAGCTGTGTACTAGTTGTTCCAAATATATTCTTCTACTATTTCCAGTGTTATTTTATTTATTAAAATATATTTTCTGTCTACTAGTTCGTTGTACATTACTTTCGTTTTTGCTAAATTCATTTTGGGACTTACTTTATTGCTGGCTGTACTTAGTTCCTTAATTTGTGCTTGTAGTTCTTCAGGACTATTGATAATTAAGATTATGTCATCAGCGAATCTTAGATGGTTAAGATATTCTCCATCCATTCTAATCCTTTGTTGGCCCAGTCCAGTTGACGAAAGATTTCTTCTAGTGTTGCTGTAAACCATTTTGGGGATATCGCGTCTCCCTGTCGTACTCCTTTGCCAATTGGGAACTCTGGGGTTGTTTTATATTTTTTATATTATTATATATTTTATATTTTAAATACATGGGTTTAAATGGCGAGTAAACAAAAAAAAATAGTATATAATTATTCTAAAAGTGTTAGAAAGTATGATTTGTAGAAACTCTAAAAAGTAAAGGAGTTTTTCCATTTTTTTTTTATCTCAAAAACTGTGACTGATTTTGAGGTTATTACAAATTTTGTTGCAAATATTATTCCTAATCTTAAATTGAAAACCGCGTTTCGCTAGCTACTGTAATTTTGGAGTGACGATTTTTTTAAATTTTTAACCCCCTCCCATACCTCCTTAACAACCCCCCACCCCCACCAAAAACTAATGGCAAGATTCTCGGCTGCCACAGTATGTTTGTGCCAAATTTGGTTAAGATCGGTTTAGCGGTTTTTGAGTTATCGTGTTACAGACGGACAGACAGACATACAGATACCATGAACATATTTTGTATATAGGTCATTTATGAACTTTTTTTTTGCTGACAACTTTTTTTTTGCTGATCTTAATAGCCTATACATCTGACAATACCTTGTTTTTGATTTGTAGATATCAGTGGTTAAATTACAGTTTCTGATATTTCGCTCATCACCAGACTTAACCATTTTTGACTGTTGTTAAACGTTTACTATTTATATACATATTTTTTACGTAGTGATGAAATAAAGAAAAACATTGAGGAAAAAACTAACGACGCTGGAGAACTTTTGTCCAAAGCCGAGGATCAGCAAAGCGAGACCGAGGAACTGCTAAATGACATCCACGAAACGAGGGGTACGGTCAACGCCACTATTAGCAGGTGGAACGAGTACTTTAACGACACTGAGAACATCTATAAAGACCTCAGAGGTAAACATTACCTTATATCACAATTCTCCTATAAGTTGGTTCTCTCTCTCTTTTTTTTAAAGATTTTGATAGTGCTACCAACAAGTCCAAAGAAGAAGCGGATAGAGCTTTGAGTACCATTCCGGAAATCCAGGATACCATCGTGAGCACTCTGCTGGAAATCGACAATGCTAAGAACAAACTGGGCGATGCTCAAGAAGATGCTAACAGTGCTCAGGAAAAAGCCGAGAAAGCTAAGGCAGTTGGAGCAGAAGCTTCTGAAAAGGTAGTACTATAGTATCACAGATTAGCCCAAGTAGCAAATTTTATTTTATAAAGGTTGTATAAACAGCTATGTGATAATTTTTATAGGATACCTCAATTCATATAACGTGCTATATGACCGTAATATGATAGCTTTACAACCAAAAAAGGCCCATTTTTATACAACCATTTAGTAGTATAGAAGTTCTATAAAAAGGGTATACAACTCTTATGCAACTATTTTACACAACTATTTTATATGACTATTATAAAACTAGTTTTATTGTGTATTATGTGGTCACATCTAAGAAACAGAACAATAAAAACATTTGATCATTTAGCGAGGTACAAGAGTATTTTATTTTTTACCGAAGAATATCAGTAGCAAATTATATTTTAAGCGTGTCGTAAAATGAATCTAGAGGATGTGGATTGTTAAAAAGGAGACTTTACTCGAGAATGAAAATGGCGGGTAGAGCCAGAAGGTACAACAAATATGTAATATAAAAAATCATTAATAGGGTTTGAAAAGTAGGGACAATTTTTGTTGCGCCGAAAATTTTACTGGTAGATTATAGGTATGTATTTGGCAAAAAATTAAAGCGCTTTAATTTCGATTAAGGTTTACATATAAATTTAAACAATAAAATAAAATAAATTTTTCAAAAATTCTTGTTTTTAATTTAATTAAACACTTTATTACTGTATGTGGGAATCTTATCACAAAATAGTTCTCAAAAATAACATTTTACAATGTATTTTGATGTTTTTATTTTGCTTCATATAATGGCGGCCATAGGCCATACAAAAACTCTGCCTTAAACATGGCGAATTATAATGCAAACATTTTATTATAAATGAATCCCTTAAATAAGTCTTTGTTGTAAAATAAAACGGTATAGAATAAATATCTATCATTACGCAGAATTTCCAGGCACTATAGAACTATTTTGGACATATTGAGATTTGTGACAAATAGATGTTGCCAAATCTCATTTGATTAGTATTTAAACAAACAAACATGATCAGATTTTCATGGATTCATGCACGCAATGCATTTCATGCGTGCCCGACGAGTGAGCGCCAACCTAAGGACTTGGAAAAACAACAATAAAACAATACAAACATTACTACAGTAAAACTTTTACACCAACGTGGCAACAATGTTTTGAAGAAGCCAGACAACCCAAGAGATTTTGGCTTTTGAGAACCCAGGGAATTCTCGGGATTATTTGCCGTAATTTTGAGGAGTTTTTTCTTACATGCTCTTTATAACTACCCCTGCGTTTGTTAAGTTTTTTCCAACTTTGTCCAGAATTCATAATAGCTGTGATTGATTATACTCGTACGTAGATTTTACTTTTGCAACAACAACAATAACAAAATAAATAACTAGGTATATCATTTAAATTAAAATGAGGTTATATTATACATTACCAGTTTTATAATGCAGATATTACAGCGAATTTATTGTGTTAATCACAATTTTATCATATAAGGCTATATAACTGTGTTGTATACAGCACCGTAGTTTAACGCAATAAAACGTTCTATCATACAACGTAATACAACTTTAATAAGACAGGTTTAAGTAACTATTATATGATCTTGTGACTACTAGTTATATGAATATTATAGAACTCTTACATGGTGGGTATAAGAGTCTAATAAAATAATATGTTTGTTATCATATAGCATTGTCTTATTAAGTGTTATATCATACTAAAAGAAATTATCGTTTAATGCGTTATAGGATACGTTGTAAAAACCACTAGAAAATAGTTTAATATTACAACTTTTATTAAAAACAGAATGGTCGAAACCAAACGCTTAATAAAATCAAGCAATCCTTAAGACAACGCTATTCGATTGTTATAAAACAATTTAATCCTTTTAGAATTTTTTTTTGCTACTTGGGAGGTATACTATATGTATACAGATAGAAATCTTATCCCTAATTCGTGGTACGGAAATTGTTTTTTATGACGATGTGCAAACGAGTAAAATTTCCTGTGCGCAAAAATAAACTCGCGTAAAATAACAATAAACAGCGTAATAGAGAGATATCGCTAAACCGAATAGCGTGCATGGACGTTAATAAGGCCAGGTGTTATTTCCTTTACGTGAGGTGGTATTAACTCTCTTCATTTATAGTTATCGGATCGGAAAGAACTCTGTTCGCGTCGCGTCCGCTATTTAAACTTAACCTAACTTTGAATTTAAAACTTTGAAATTGTTTTGTTTACTAGGTATTTTAAAACTAAAGGGCTAAATTGCTTATTTCCAGTGCTTCATTGTTCAACGTCTGCCAGTGGGTTTAGGGCAACAAGCAACAAATTCTCTTAGAAGGGCTAAGTCGTCATCTGCTGTAAACCTAAGCCTCTTTATAGGTTCTTTAATATTGGAAGAAGTGGAATCAATATTTTGGGCCATATATTTATTTAATTAAAACTAATCCCAGCTACTCAAATATCAAATTACTTAATAAAACTAAAGTAATAATTCAAAACAATTCAAACATAACCTAAAATAAAAGATCTCGCCGGCCGGCCCCGGTTGTCCCATTTAAGCAATTTTTAAACGTTATTTAGAAATAGCGCTTGGTGTAATTGATCCGCAAATTACGTCAGGCGGTAACGTTATTAGCGGGTGTTGCGTTAAAAATTGACTCGCGCATATCGTAACCATGATAAGGTACGCGTAAATACTGCATGACGCTATTCGGTTTTCCGATATCTCTCTAATAACTGTGCCGGTCAGGGCTGTGCACAATTTTATAGGCCATAAGTGGGCGTGCTATGTGCGCAAACTAGTAACCTAACTAGTGCCCGATTCCGAAAATTGGAACCACGAAAAACAATAAAGAAAAAACAAAGTTTTTAATCTGTATAATCTGTGATAGTATACACCAAATAAACTTTTAGTCACGTGATTAAGCTTGACCGGTACAGTGTTGCCCCCTTTCACATATTTTCTTTTAATCAAAATATTTTAGGAAACAAAAATGAAAATAAATATAAATATATAAACAGTTATTATTTACATCAACAAAACTCACCTACTTAACAGCACTTAAGGGACATAAAGGGCCATTACTGCCGCTTTCCCGTTCAAAATATTCTAATAAGGTTGCAATGAGTTTTTTGCCACGGCTATTAAGCTATGTTATACACTTCCCACTGAAAGAGGTTCAAAAAGAACAATGTTCGACTCGCTGCAAGGTCTGCTAGTAAAAATGTTTAAACTTAAAGTATCACTGAAGTTATTTATAGTTTTTTATGTTTTATGAATACGATCATGACGTACAAAACAGCGAGCGGATTGGTTCAGATTTTCTCAAGACTTTTATTATTTAAACGATACCAATTTTTGATCTGTTTGTTTTAGTTAAAAGATTTTCTTCAAACGGCTAAAGATCTGGACGCAAATGGAACTACTCTGGTCGAAAATGCGGAAGATATGAAGAAAAAAGTCGACGATTCTAAAGAACGGCTTCGAAAACTTTTGGAAAGTACAAGATTTAACAGTAGTTTGGTGGATGTAGCCAAGGAAAAGGTATGTATACGAAAAATTACAAATTTTCCTTTGATTACAATATTAAAAATACGAAATGAAGATCGCTGTCATTTTATATGTAAAATTATATATACAGGTTGTTAATTTGTTTATTACTACCGGCAAGAGCTTTATGGTTGAGATATGACAACCTCGGCCAGCTCGTCGAGAGACGACGCGACGCGACGGGACGAGTCGGCACCTTAGCTTAGGCAGTGTTGCCATTCTGTTCCCCAATAAGTAACCGTCCAGTTAACAATCTGTATATGGGGAATGTCATTGATCGTCATTTCGTCAAACCAAGTGGACGCCGTTTTTTTTTATTATACGGTACCTTTTAACGCGTCATATATACACACCGGAAAAATCTAGGGATATCATTTTATTAAAGTTAAAAATAAATGTTTTGAAAAAACAACCACATATTTGTAGGCCGATTCTTTCTACTTCGATTGAAACGAAGTAGTCACACTAGTTATTTCTAAATTTGGGATATTTGCAGAAGTGTTTGTGCATTTTTTGTCAAATGTATAAAAAGCGCCTAGCATCAATTGTTCGAATTTAACCTGTACTGGCTATGTTTTTATGATAACTGACCAGAATTCATTCAAATAACTCTGTTTAGTATTAAACGACATTATGGAGCGTAGACATCTTAACAGAGATGAAATGCTAAGGGCCATGGGTATGGTCGAAGCTGGAATGCGCCAAATCGACGTAGCTAGAGCATTAAATACAACGCAAAGTGTAATATCGCGATTAAGTGCACGTTACCGTGAAAGTGGTGATGTTGCTGAAAGGCACACAGGGCGGATTCAATCACTACCCCTCAGCAAGATCATTTTTTACAATTAAATGCTCGGCGCCGACCGACTCTTACAGCACCAGAGCTTAATTTAATTCTCCAGGAAACACATAATGTAACCGTTAGTTCTGACACTGTTCGCAATAGATTAAGAGAGGTCAACTTAAGAAGCAGACGCCCCTGGAGAGCTCAACCCTTAACGAGAGAAAATCGAGAGGTACGATATTTGTGGGCTCAAGATCATGTTCAGTGGTCGAATGAACAATGGGCCAATGTTCTCTTCACGGATGAGTCACGCCTTGGAATTCATCCGGATTCGAGGAGGCTTAGGGTATGGAGAGAACCGGGAAATCTTATTCGGTTGGATCATGTTCAGGACGTGCACTCTTATCATGGTGGAACATTATGGTCTGGGGAGGAGTCCAGTTAGGCCGAAAAACCGATCTCGTTTTTCTTGAAAGGTTTCTTACAGGAATCACATATCGTGATTTAATTCTTGAGCCTGTCGTGTTACCATATGCCAATAATTTGGGGAGAAACTTCATTCTCATGCACGACAATGCACGGCCTCATACAGCCAGAGTGGTAAGTGAGTTTATCAATGCTCATCAATTAAACATCTTACCCTGGCCGGCACAATCTCCTGACCTCAACCCCATCGACCACGTATCGGACGCGGTCCAAACAAGAATTTTGAGAATGGGTATGCCTCGTGAAACTCGTAGGGATCTGGTTCGGGCCGTGAATGCAGCGTGGCAGGGTGTACCTCAAGAAGAGATCGACAACCTGATCAGGAGCATGGAGAGACGATGTAGGGCTGTAATGAACAGTAGAGGAGGCCATACCCTTTATTAAGTAAAAATGGTTTTATCTTTTCTTTTTAATTCACAGTTTAGAATTTAAAAAAAATGTGTGTATTTTTTTGAGTTCAATAAAAATCAAAATTCGGTAAATTTCGCATTTTTATTTCCAATACGTCCTGTAAACTATTTGTTTTCCAAATTGCCTTAAGTCGGCGATAATTATTCCTTTTGCATAAAGGAGGTGATAAAGAGCAAGCTTCCAACTATCGTCCAATTGCACTCCTTCCCACGTTATCGAAGATCATGGAGAGACTGGTTAAAAAGAGGCTTCTATCATTTCTTCTAAAATACAAAATACTCACCCCCTTTCAGTTTGGGTTCTTGAGTAACAAATGTACAAATGACGCTATGTTTTCGCTGTTTAATAATGTATACTCCAGTCTGAACAACCGTCTCGTTACAGCAACAATTTTCTGTGATTTCTCGAAAGCTTTCGATTGTGTTAATCATAACATCCTACTAACAAATTGCAGTACTATGGTATCAGGGGAACGCCTCTTGAATGGTTTAAGTCCTACCTTAACAACAGAAACCAGCGTGTGAGGGTTGATAAGACTGTGTCTTCTTGCAAGCCAATAGAATGCGGAGTACCTCAGGGCTCAGTGCTAGGTCCTATTTTGTTTCTGTTGTTTATCAACGATATTGCTAGTCTGGACATCAGTGGTAAAATCTGTCTCTTCGCGGATGATACTTGTTTCACATGGAGCAGCCCGGACACCACGGCACTTCATAGAACCATTTCCAGTGACTTAATCAACATAAAAACATGGTGCGATTCTAATTATCTGTGTCTCAACGTCTCTAAAACTAAAGTCTTATCATATAAAAGTACGTTGCTACCTTTTCAACTTGATAATACCACCATTGACGTCGTTGATTCTGTGAAATTTTTAGGCCTTGTTGTGGACAACTATTTAAAATGGGATTTGCAATCGATGCTTTAGCTAAAAAATTAAGTTCTGCCTGTTTCGCACTTAGATCAGTTGCTAATGTGCTTAATTTGTCAACATCTAGGACAGTCTATTATGCCCTTTATGAGTCGCATCTCCGATACGCACTTCCATTCTGGGGTGCGTGTTGTGCGACTCAATTTGAGCGTATCTTCAAATTACAAAAGAGAGCTGTGCGATATTCACTGAGGCTAACCAGTTGTGCTCACTGCCGGGACTTGTTTAGAAGATATAAAATATTAACTCTTCCTTCCCTATTCATACTCGAATCCGTCTGCCTAGTTCGCAAGCACGTATCGAGTATTTCTCTAGAGCCAGTTCATGGCTATCCAATTAGGAACGCAGAGCATAACATGTATCTGCCAACCCCTCACTCTGAGTTAGTAAAGAGTTCCCAATTGTACAATGCAAAAAAAAATGCACTATCATCTGCCATCTGAAATTAATTCCATTTCATCCTTTCCTGCATTTCGCAGAGCCTTGAGATCATACTTACTGGAGAAAGCCTTTTACGCGGTTAACGATTTTTTTATTAATATCTAGGGTTCTAAATTTAACACACATTCACTAAATTTAAGAAATGATTTTGTTTTCTATCCATTTAAATTTAGTATTGACATTATATACAGTTGTTTATTTACATGTATGTTTATATTTTATTTATATTTAATTAAATAAATTTTTGACAATGTACAATTTCTATAATTGTATAAAGTATTGTTTTAGTTTTGTATGTTTGCTGTTAGTTTTATATGTTTTTCTATTGTTAAGTGAAGTTCTGTATGTTTTTATATTCTTTTTTTTTTTTTTTTAAGCTTTGTCAACAAAATTGTAAAATTTTTTATGACAATAAAGCATTTTTATTTCTACGTCCTGTAAACTATTTGTTTATTTTAATTTTATTATATCAGAAATGCAAATAATAAAATTACTGACGATGGCTGGATAAAATTGTAATATCCCTAGACTTTTCCGATGTGTGTATTTGTTCTAGAATTTTTTCTTTTATTTAATACTTGTCAAAGATTAGATGTCAAAGAGTTTAGATACGTCAATTTGACTTACCTACAGACTGACTTCAGCAGCGTATTGGATGTTTGTGTTTTGTAATTTTGTGTTAATACTTATCTATTTTTATTAGAATTATATGTTTTTATAACGATATTAATAAATACCAACATTTATAAATATAAATTAAATTAATTAGTAGACAGTTAATTAACACTATTTTGAATATTTCTAGGTTGGAAAAGCTACCAAAGACACAGCGGACGTTTCGGGCAAGGTCGACGACCTCATAGGTGACGTCCAAAAAATCATCGAAGACCTCCAAGGTGTCTCTCACGTCAACGACACAGAACTAGATCAGATGGAGGAGGAAATTGAGGTTATAGAGAGGAAAATTGCCGACACAGGCTTGGAGAACAAGCTGGTCAAATTGAAGGACGAACACAAGGCTCAGGAGATACTTATTGAGGACTACAATGAGAGGATTAAAGGTCTTAGAAGGGATGTGGAGAATATTGAGCAGATTGTTAAGGCTCTGCCTGATGATTGCTTCAGAAGAGTGGTTTTGGAGCCTTAGTGGAATCTTAGAAGATTATTAATAATATGCCAAAGAAATTATTACTTTGTTTTGTAGTAATTTATTCTTGTAAATAGAAGTACCTTGTTCCAGTTTTAATGTTAGTGTGTTTTTTTTAAGAAATAACAAATTTATACTGCCATAACAATAAAGATATTTATAACTATAAGAAAATAATTTTATTTGATTTATTTAGTTATACAGGGTGGTCAGAACTGTATCCGGAAACTTCGGCAGTATATTCTGCAGATAAAAATAATTAAAAAATTCGTATAAATGTATGTTCTAAAATGCTTAGTTTTGTAAATACATTTTTATTTCGATTTTTAACAAATAATTTCTAGAGTAACGTCAATATTTGGATGAAAATTGGATCTGGGAGTTTTTTGACATGAGAAATTTCATTTTGATGTCAATACGACTCCTACTTGTAGAGGGCGCCACGTACATATTTTTTCCGTACCTGTATAAAACTACTGACTAAAAAATGTATATTTGCGACGTTTCTTACGTAAAAAAGGTCCCTCGGTAAAAATCGCTACGAGTATAATGGTTTTCGAGATATTTGGAATCGAAATTATCAATACCTGTCATCATTGACATAAATTAAACATGTTGACTTAACCCAAGAACAGTTAACCTAATAGGACTGCTCATTCAGCCAAAAGTGTCCGCCAAGTGCATGCGAAAACTACTCGCTTTGTGACGTCATTGCGGTCATTAGTCCTTATCCGGCAACCAATAATACACACACGTGCATTATTGGAATATATGAATGCATATTACCGAATGCAAAACGTTCATTATTTAGTTTATTTATTTAAACACCTTATATGTATGCATTATAGAAAATTAACTGTATAAATCGTATTAAATACTCGGATAATGCATTTTTAAGAACAGCAGTTTAGAGTACTTCCATATTTTGCTTTAAAATAATTAATAAACAAAATCGTGAACACTTAGTATGCACTTTGTCACAATCCACAACACAAAATGAACGTATTTATACACTCTATAGCTCTAAAAACTTTCAAGACACCTTTTTCACATTTAAAATTGACAAAATAATTAACTCAAAATTTCTCAGCTGTTATTTTTATAAGTTTACCATAGGCAACTAATAATACACACTATCATGACAAGGCCACGAAGGCTTTGACAAGGGCTACAATGACGTCACAACTGTCAGCTGAAGCGCGGGAAGAGGCGAACGTACGTCTTATGAGGATGGGCAATCCTATTAGTTTACCGTTCTTGGACTTAACCCAAGCAGCATTTGGACGTCGGGACAACGTTGTGTCACGCGACCAAACGTCGGGGCGCAACGTCGGCACAACTTCGTGCCAACCCTAGTCTGCACTAGTTTGGAGAATAATTTTTGGGTCGAAACGACGTTGGATACCGACGTTGGCTAGAAGCCTAATTTAGTACAAACGGCAACGTTGTTTAAAATCCTAATTCACAGAAATACAAAACTATAATAATATGGCGTCTAAGTCGCGTTTTATCCTAAATTGGGATAATTATAGTAAAAATATTATTTTTATGACTTAGTTAGAGACAAATTATTATGGCAGTGAAGGGAAACAAAACAAAAGTATTTAAGTGTGGAGGATGTTTGAAGATCATAATTATTGAAACACTTTAACCGACTCTGTAACTCGTTACCCAAGGCAAAAAAGTTAAACGCAAACAACTTTATTGATAAATGTATTGTTTCTACTTTGAAAAATACTAATGGGCCTTAAAATTAAAGAAGTTTTAAAAAAATTTTTGAATTTTTTTTTTAGTAAAATGAGAATAATTCATTCGCAGTCGAAAAAATTGTTTCCGCGTGTTTTTTAGGGTCAAATATTTCAAGTTAATGTATTCAAAAAGCAGGAATTGCTATTTTAGGAACGAAACATTTTCTTATTTAACAACATGGCGGCTTTCACTTTGTTGTTTTGGAGATTAAGATGGAGTAGTTCGAGTAGTCGCATACTGGACTAATAAAGTCGCAGTTCGGCCACAGAATATACACCATACAGAAGCGACAAAGAGCTTTGAATAGCATTGGTCAAATGGGAACTAATTGCGTGACGTCACGTTTGACATCCGTGCGCCTTGAACAGCATTTCACACTGAAAGAAAATTGTTAGATTTTAATAGAAAATGATGAAAGGCAGGTTTATTTAATTTTTTAAAACTAGAGGGATTTAAATCAGTATTTTTATTTAGAATTAAAAATAAATAAATAATTATGAAATATATTTTTTAGTCTTTTATGCATAATATCTAGAAATAATTATACCTGCGGTCGTGAATTTTTTTTTGGTGTATAATTCTTTGACGTCACGTTTGACAGTTAACCAGCATTACCCCCTCCTAAAAAATTTGAAGCAAATCTCTTTGTCGCTTCTGTATGGTGTATATTTTGTGGTTCGGCCTTAACAGGTAGTATACTAGTCGCAAGATTGCCTAATTTAGTCATCCTAGAGTCTAGCTTGTGCCGCCCTCTATATTCTAAATAAACGAGGGAGTGGATAAACTATCGGTAATATATGTCGATGTATATTTAAATTTAGTTTTATATGTACCTTTCTTATGTTCCATTTTAATTAAGTTTTTTTTTATAAAACAAAAAACAGCACTGAACTGTCTGACTGAACAGAACAATGAAGTAAAAATTTAAGATTTAAGGTTATGGTTCAATACAGTTGCAAAAAGGTAGTGACTCGACGTCCTACCAATGTAAGAATAAGGAAATCTAAACAACGTTGGAATTAGTAAAACAGACGACGTTTGCATAACGTTGGAATAGGTCCTGAAACTGACGTCGGAAAACTTTATATTGTCCAACGTTGTAACTACGTTGTCCGAATCACCTAAAGATCACTTAAGCAAAAATGGTTACAAGACAACGTTTATTCGACGTCGCAGAAGCTTCTACTTTGCTGTAGTACTAGTCCAACGTCGGCACAACGTAGGGAGGAACTAACTATTTTTTGTAACTAATCCAACGTTGTGTTTAGTAGACATGTGGTCGCAAGTCGTGAAAATGCTACTTGGGCGATTTTTACAAAGAGATATTTTTTACGTAAAAAGTCACAGAGATGTATATTTTTTCGCTCGGTAATTTTATACAGGTACGGACAAAAATTTATTACGCTTCAAAACAGTTAAACACATGTAGGTGGCGCCCTCTCCTACTAGGAGTCATAATGACATCAAAATTAACTTTCTCATGTCAAAAAACTCCTAGTCATCAATTTTGATCCAAATACTAACGTTACTTCAGAAATTATTTGGCAAAAATCGAAATAAAAATGAAATTTCTACACCCTGTATCTCCGAAACTAAGCATTTTAGGGCATACATTTATACGAACATTTTTACTTATTTTTATCTGCAGAATATACCGCCGAAGTTTCCGGAATACAATTTGGACCACCCTGTATAGAAATAAAAACGTAAAATAGATTGTTGATGAGTAGAATTTAAAAATATATTTTTATGTATTGATCACTCTGAGGATAATAAAAAATGTTTTAAATTTGTTTATTTCTTTTTCTAGTTTTCTTCTACTTTGTTGATTAACAAATAGAATTAAAGATAAGTATATAAGCTCCGTCTACACGTTAACACGCCTAAAACGTTATGTGTAGACAGAGGGCTTTAAACGTTATGTGTAAACAGGGCTTAAGAACGTTATTTACATTATCACAATGATATAATTTTTAATAAACCATTTTATTAGACTTCTTCGTAATTTTATTTTTTTATAATAATTATAATAACAAAATACAAAAAGAATCCTTTTTTTACTACTTATTTTACTACTACCTGTACAATATCAGGAAATTGAATTTATACTAATTCTTTTTCTAAAAAGTATCTATTTTTATCTTTGCAATATTGCTTTTGTAATATACAAAGTCAGATACACATCTATTTCATATCAGATACTTGTATAAGATAAAACCTGATAAAGCTTTTGCACACGATTCTACTGCAGGATAACAAAACAATTTGCACTCGTTGTTGTTATTCGCACCTTATTTCGACATGTACAGGGTGGCCAAAAAATATTTCAAAATTCTGAAACAGCTATTAAATTGAAGGATTTAAAGGACCCGTCTGAAAAAGTGTAGTTTGAAATGTTGAAAAAGAAGTAAATATAAAAATTAAAGTTATTTACGTGCAACAAATCGTTTTTTACGTATAACAAATGGGGGTTTACAAGTAAAAAATAGTTTTTTGGTTGTAACAAATCGTTTTTTACGTGTAATAAATAGTTCTTTACAATTAAAAAATAGTTTTTTACGTGTAACAAATCGTTTTTACGCATAATAAATATTTTTTTACAAGTAAAAAATAGTTTTTTGCGTGTAACAAATAGTTTATTACGTGTAGCAAATAGTTTTTTAGACGTAAAAAAGCATTTTATTCGTAAAAATAGTTTTTTCCGTGTAACAAACAGTTTTATACACGTAAAATAAAAAAAATAATTAATAATTTGATTCCTTTTCACAAATTAATACACATCACGCGTCACTACGTATTTCTAACTCCCCCCCCCCTTAAAACTCCCTTAAAACTCACCCAGTATATCTGATAGCATCTTTTTAATTGAAAAAAAAATAAATTTCATTGTTTTGTTCTCTGTAAGAAAACAGTCTAGTTTTGGGAATTGCCCTCTATTTTAAATGCCGTATAGCATATTTTAGTAATTACTAAATTATTACAATTATTAAAGCCCATCAATAACTTGTAACTTTATAATTGTGAGAGAGCTTCGGAATTTAAAATCTAAAAATTATCATGTTTTCAAAATCTACTCAGATTTTAATCACTCATTTCTTGGATTTTTAATTAAATTTAAAATTTTTCTAGATGAATTTTATGACAGACCTATTAAGAAAAATATACAGGGTGAGTCGTAAGTGCAAATATTTTCAGGGGTGGTAGATCACGATAAAAGAAAAATTTTCTCTCAACTGTTTTTTAAATAAATCCAAAATAACCGACTTATTTTATTTTGAAAATTAAAAAAAATTATTTATTGCCAAAATTTTGAGAACCACTGGATCTTTTCTGGATTTTTCTTCTTGCAAATTTAATCTACTACCTATGTTGCCATATATTATCACAAATTATATTTTTTAACTAAAAACAAAAAAAAATCCCAAAAATTTCAAATTTCTTTTTACAAAAAAAAATCTCTTAATCTGTTTCTGGGGTAGAAATATAGGTACCTACTACCCCTAAAAATATTTGCACTTATTTAAGACTCACCCTGTATACAGCGTTCCATTAAAAAACCTACAATTCCTGTATAAAAATATATTTGAACCAACCAGTATATTTATGACATTTATGAAAATATTTTTTT